AACACCACCCCTGGGCAGGTGAAAGGTGCTGAGCTCAATGGGACCCCCGTTGGGTGCTGAGCTCAATGGGACCCCCTTGGGTGCTGAGATCAATGGGACCCCCCTTGGTTGGGTGCTGAGCTCAATGGGACCCCCGTGGTTGGGTGCTGAGCTCAATGGGACCCCCTTGGGTGCTGAGCAAAATGGGACCCCCATGGTTGGGTGCTGAGCTCAATGGGACCCCCCCCATTGGTTGGGTGCTGAGCTCAATGGGACCCCCCTTGGTTGGGTGCTGAGCTCAATGGGACCCCCCTTGGTTGGGTGCTGAGCTCAATGGGACCCCCCCATTGGGTGCTGAGCTCAATGGGACCCCCATTGGGTGCTGAGCTCAATGGGACCCCCTTGGGTGCTGAGCTCAATGGGACCCCCCTTGGTTGGGTGCTGAGATCAATGGGACCCCCCTTGGGTGCTGAGCTCAATGGGACCCCCATTGGGTGCTGAGCTCAATGGGACCCCCTTGGGTGCTGAGATCAATGGGACCCCATTGGGTGCTGAGCTCAATGGGACCCCTCTTGGGTGCTGAGCTCAATGGGACCCCCCCATGGTTGGGTGCTGAGCTCAATGGGACCCCCATTGGGTGCTGAGCTCAATGGGACCCCCCTTGGGTGCTGAACTCAATGGGCCCCCCCTTGGGTGCTGAGCTCAATGGGACCCCCCTTGGTTGGGTGCTGAGCTCAATGGGACCCCCATTGGGTGCTGAGCTCAATGGGACCCCCTTGGTTGGGTGCTGAGCTCAATAGTACCCCCTTGGGTGCTGAGCTCAATGGGACCCCCCTTGGGTGCTGAGCTCAATGGGACCCCCCTTGGGTGTTGAGCTCCATGCCCCCCCCATTGGGTGCTGAGCTCAATGGGACCCCCGTGGTTGGGTGCTGAGCTCAATGGGACCCCCATGGTTGGGTGCTGAGCTCAATGGGACCCCCATTGGGTGCTGAGCTCCATGCTCCCCCCTTGGGTGCTGAGCTCAATGGGACCCCCCCATTGGGTGCTGAGCTCAATGGGACCCCCCTTGGGTGCTGAGCTCAATGGGACTCCCATTGGGTGCTGAGCTCAATAGGACCCCCCATTGGGTGCTGAGCTCAATGGGACCCCCCTTGGGTGCTGAGATCAATGGGACCCCCATTGGGTGCTGAGCTCAATGGGACCCCCCATGGTTGGGTGCTGAACTCCATGCTCCCCCCATTGGGTGCTGAGCTCAATGGGACCCCCCCATGGTTGGGTGCTGAACTCCATGCTCCCCCCATTGGGTGCTGAGCTCAATGGGACCCCCCATTGGTTGGGTGCTGAGCTCAATGGGACCCCCGTGGTTGGGTGCTGAGCTCAATGCGACCCCCATGGTTGGGTGCTGAGCTCAATGGGACCCCCGTGGTTGGGTGCTGAGCTCAATGGGACCCCATTGGGTGCTGAGCTCAATGGGACCCTCATGGTTGGGTGCTGAGCTCAATGGGACCCCCGTTGGGTGCTGAGCTCAATGGGACCCCCATGGTTGGGTGCTGAGCTCAATGGGACCCCCGTTGGGTGCTGAGCTCAATGGGACCCCCTTGGGTGCTGAGCTCAATGGGACCCCCCCATTGGGTGCTGAGCTCAATGGGACCCCCCTTGGGTGCTGAGCTCAATGGGACCCCCCTTGGGTGCTGAGCTCAATGGGACCCCCCTTGGTTGGGTGCTGAGCTCAATGGGACCCCCCCCATGGTTGGGTGCTGAGCTCAATGGGACCCCCCTTGGGTGCTGAGCTCAATGGGACCCCCCCATGGTTGGGTGCTGAGCTCAATGTCCCCCCCCCCATTGGGTGCTGAGCTCAATGGGACCCCATTGGGTGCTGAGCTCCATGCTCCCCCCATTGGGTGCTGAGCTCAATGGGACCCCCGTGGTTGGGTGCTGAGCTCAATGGGACCCCCATGGTTGGGTGCTGAGCTCAATGGGACCCCCATTGGGTGCTGAGCTCAATGGGACCCCCATTGGGTGCTGAGCTCCATGCTCCCCCCATTGGGTGCTGAGCTCAATGGGACCCCCCTTGGGTGCTGAGCTCAATGGGACCCCCCATTGGGTGCTGAGCTCGATGGGACCCCCATGGTTGGGTGCTGAGCTCAGTGGGACCCCCCTTGGGTGCTGAGCTCAATGGGACCCCCGTTGGGTGCTGAGCTCAATGGGACCCCATTGGGTGCTGAGCTCAATGGGACCCCCCTTGGTTGGGTGCTGAGCTCAATGGGACCCCCATTGGTTGGGTGCTGAGCTCAATGGGACCCCCGTTGGGTGCTGAGCTCAATGGGACCCCCGTGTTTGGGTGCTGAGCTCAATGGGACCCCCATGGTTGGGTGCTGAGCTCACCCTGCAGGCCCATGACGCTGCTGAGCACCAGGATGTGGCCGCTGCGCCGGCGCTTCATGGCGGGGAGCACGGCGCGGATCATGCGCACGGCCCCGAAGAAGTTGGTCTCGAAGACGCCCTTCATCTGCTCCACGCTCGTGCTCTCCAGCGGCCCCACCAGCCCCACGCCTGCGTTGTTCACTGCGCCCCACACGTGAGTCCCGTCACTGCCCCACGGCTGCCCCACGGCTGCCCCGTGGCTGCCACGTCACTGCCCCATGGCTGCCCCATCGCTGTCCCATCACTGCCCCACAGCTGCCCCACGGCTGCCCCATGGCTGCCCCATTGCTGCCCCATGGCTGCCCCGTGGCTGCCCCATGGCTGCCCCGTCACTGTCCCGTGGCTGCCCCATGGCTGCCCCGTGGCTGCCCCGTCACTGCCCCACGGCTGCCCCGTCACTGCCCCATCGCTGCCCCGTCACTGCCCCATGGCTGCCCCATCACTGCCCCATCACTGCCCCATGGCTGCCCCACGGCTGCCCCATCACTGCCCCATGGCTGCCCCATGACTGCCCCATCACTGCCCCACGGCTGCCCCATCGCTGCCCCGTGGCTGCCCCATGGCTGCCCCAAAGCACCCCACAGCTGCCCCATGGCTGCCCCGTCACTGCCCCTGCCCCGTGGCTGCCCCATGGCTGCCCCATGGCTGCCCCGTCACTGCCCCATGGCTGCCCCATGGCTGCCCCATGGCTGCCCCATCGCTGCCCCATGGCTGCCCCGTCACTGCCCCATGGCTGCCCCATCACTGCCCCATGGCTGGCTGCCCCATGGCTGCCCCGTCACTGCCCCATGGCTGCCCCCACTGCCCCATCACTGCCATGGCTGCCCCACGGCTGCCCCATGGCTGCCCCGTCACTGCCCCATCACTGCCCCACGGCTGCCCCATCGCTGCCCCGTGGCTGCCCCATAGCTGCCCCATGGCTGCCCCATGACTGCCCCATCACTGCCCCACGGCTGCCCCATCGCTGCCCCGTGGCTGCCCCATGGCTGCCCCACGGCTGCCCCACGGCTGCCCCATAGCTGCCACGTCACTGCCCCACGGCTGCCCCACGGCTGCCCCACAGCTGCCTCGTCACTGCCCCACGGCTGCCCCGTGGCTGCCCCATGGCTGCCTCGTCACTGCCCCGTCACTGCCCCATGGCTGCCCCATGGCTGCCCCATGGCTGCCCCGTCACTCCCTCATGGCTGCCCCATAACTACCCCATAGCTGCCCCATAGGTACCCCATAACTGCCCCATCACTGCCTCATATCCCCCCATTAACTGCCCCATAACTTCCCCATAGCCCCCCATAACTGCCCCATAGGTACCCCATGACTGCCCTGAAACTGCCCCATAGCCACCCATAACTGCCCCATAGCCCCCCATAACTGCCCCATAGGTACCCATAACTGCCCCATAGCCACCCATAACTGCCCCATAATTGCCCCATAGGCACCCATAACTGCCCCATAGGTACCCCATGACTGCCCCATAGGTACCCATAACTGCCCCATAGCCACCCATAACTGCCCCATAATTGCCCCATAGGCACCCATAACTGCCCCATAGCCACCCCATAACTGCCCCATAATTGCCCCATAGCCCCCCATAACTGCCCCATAGGTACCCATAACTGCCCCATAGCCACCCCATAACTGCCCCATAATTGCCCCATAGGCACCCATAACTGCCCCATAGCCACCCATAACTGCCCCATAGCCACCCCATAACTGCCCCATAGGTCCCCCATAGGTCCCCCATAGGTGAGCCCCATAGCTCCCCCAGAGGTGAGCCCCATAGGTCCCCCATAGGTGAGCCCCATAGGTCCCCCATAGGTCCCCCATAGCTCCCCCAGAGGTGAGCCCCATAGCTCCCCCATAGCCATTGGTCCCCCATAAGCCCCATAGCACCCCCATAATTGCCCCATAGGTGAGCCCCATAGGCTCCCCCATAGGTGCCCCATAGCCCCCCATAACTGTCCCCCATAGGTGAGCCCCCATAACTGCCCCATAGGTCCCCCATTGGTCCCCCATAGGTGAGCCCCATAGCTCCCCCATAGGTCCCCCATAGGTCCCCCAGAGGTGAGCCCCATAGGTCCCCCATAGGTGAGCCCCATAGGTCCCCCATAGGTCCCCCATTGGTCCCCCATAGGTGAGCCCCATAGCTCCCCCATAGGTCCCCCATTGGTCCCCCATAGGTGAGCCCCATAGCTCCCCCATAGGTGAGCCCCACAGGCACCCGCTATGTCCCCCATGGGCGCCCCGCTCACCCAGCACGTCCACGTGCCCCCCGGGGATGCTCGCCATGCACTCGGCCACGGAGCTGTCGCTGCACACGTCCAGGCGCCGGATGCTCAGCGTCCTCCCCAGGGCCGATCCCGCGGCCTCCTCCAGCTTCCCGCTCTTCCCGAGGTCCCGCATGGTGGCGATGACTGCGGGGAGCCGTTGGGAGCTCATTGGGAGCCATTGGGATCCATTGGGATCCATTGGGAGCCCATTGGGAGCCCATTGGGAGCCATTGGGAGCCCATAGGGAGCCCATTGGGAGCCATCAGGAGCCATTGGGATCCATTGGGAGCCATTGGGATCTATTGGGATCCATTGGGATCCATTGGGAGCTCATTGGGATCCATTGGGAGCTCATTGGGAGCCATTGGGATTCATTGGGTGCCCATTGGGAGCCATTGGGATCCATTGGGAGCCATTGGGATCCATTGGGAGCCCATTGGGAGCCATTGGGAGCCATTGGGATCCATTGGGAGCCCATTGGGAGCCATTGGGATCCATTGGGAGCCATTGGGAGCCATTGGGATCCATTGGGATCCATTGGGAGCCGTTGGGAGCCATTGGGAGCCCATTGGGTGCCCATTGGGAGCCATCGGGAGCCATTGGGATTCATTGGGATCCATGGGGAGCCATTGGGAGCCATTGGGATCCATTGGGATCCATTGGGATCCATTGGGAGCCGTTGGGAGCCATTGGGAGCCATTGGGAGCTCATTGGGATCCATTGGGATCCATTGGGAGCCCGTTGGGAGCTCATTGGGATCCATTGGGATCCATTGGGATCCATAGGGAGCCCATTGGGAGCCATCGGGAGCCATTGGGATCCATTGGGATCCATTGGGAGCTCATTGGGATCCATTGGGATCCATTGGGATCCATGGGGAGCCAGTGGGAGCCCATTGGGAGCCAGTGGGATCCATTGGGAGCCACTGGGAGCCATTGGGAGCCATCGGGAGCCATTGGGATCCTTTGGGAGCCATTGGGATCCATCGGGATCCATTGGGATCCATTGGGATCCATCAGGAGCCCATCGGGAACCCATAGGGATCCATTGGGAGCCCACTGGGATCCATTGGGAGCCCATGGGGAGCCATTTGGGAGCCCACTGGGATCCATTGGGAGCCCATGGGGAGCCATTGGGATCCTTTGGGATCCATCGGGAGCCCATCGGGAGCCCATCGGGAGCCACTGGGGTCAATCCCGGCCGGCATTCCCGGAGCTGCCTGGGTAACCGGGAGCTTATCCCTGCCCGCGGCTAATCCCGGCTGTGGGTCAGCGGGGGGACAGCGGGGACTGGGTGCACACAGGGAGGGATGCAGGGAGGGAGGGATGCAGGGAGAGAGGGATACAGGGATGGATACAGGGAGAGGGATACAGGGTGAGAGGGATACAGGGATGGAGGGATACAGGGAGGGAGGGAGGGATACAGGGATGGAGGGATACAGGGAGAGAGGGATACAGGGATGGAGGGATACAGGGAGGGAGGGATACAGGGAGGGATACAGGGATGGAGGGATACAGGGAGGGATGGATACAGGGAGGGAGGGATATCGGGAGAGAGGGATACAGGGAGAGAGGGGTACAGGGAGGGATACAGGGATGGAGGGATACAGGGATGGAGGGATACAGGGAGGGTTGCCCCCCCCTCAGCCCCACTTCCCCCCCTGCTGCAAACACGGGGCTCACCCCATGGGGACCAGGCCCCCATCTCCCCCCCCATTCCCCATCCCCCCCCATTTCCCATCCCCCCTCATTTCCCCACCCCCCATTCCTCATCCTCCCCATTTCCTAACCCCCATCCCCCCATTGCCCATCCCCCCCCACTTGCCTCCTTATTTCCCACCCCCCCATTCCCCCATTCCCCCCCATTGCCCCCCTCTCCCCCCATCTCCCATCTCCCCCCATTCCCCATCCCCCTCATTTCCCACAACCCCGTTCCCCATTCCCCCCCATCCCCCACCCCCCCATTTCCTACCCCATCTCCCCTCCCCCCCATTCCCCCCCATTTCCCACTCCCCCCATCTTCCCTCCCTCTCCCCCAGCCCCCCCATTTCCCACCCCCCATTTCCCTCCCCCCCACCTCCTCCCCATTCCCCCCCCATTTCCCCCCCATCTCCCCCCCATCCCCCCCATTCCCCAACCCCATTCTCCATTTCCCACCCACCCCTTCCCCCCAATTTCCCACCCCATCTCCCCTCACCCCCATTCCCCCCCCTCCCCCAGGCCCCCATTTCCCACTCCCCCATCTTCCCTCCCCCCCCCCCCCCCATTTCCCACCCCCCATCTGCCCTCCCCCCATCCCCCCCCCCCCTCCCCTCCCCCCCCCCATTTCCCACTCCCCCCATCTTCCCTCCCCCCCATCCCCCCCATTTCCCCCCCCATTTCCCCCCATCTTCCCTCCCCCACAGACCCCCTCTCCCCCCCCATTTCCCACCTCCCCATTTCCCTCCCCCCCACCTCCCCCCACATTCCCCACCCCCATTTCCCACCCCCTCCATCTCCCCCCTCCCCATTTCCCCCCACCTCCCCCCCCATTCCCCACCCCCATTTCCCACCCCCCCACCCCCCACATTCCCCCCCCATTTCCCACTCCCTCCATCTCCCCTCCCCCCCATTTCCCCCCCATTTCCCACTCCCTCCATCTTCCCAGCCCCCCATCCCCCCCATTTACCCCCCCATTTCCCCCCCATCTTCCCTCCCCCCCAGTCCCCCCTCTCCCCCCCATTTCCCACCCCCCCATTTCCCTCCCCCCCATTCCCCACCCCCATTTCCCACCTCCCCTCCCCCCACATTCCCCCCCCATTTCCCACCCCATCTCCCCTCCCCCCCATTTCCCCCCAGCCCCCCCATTTCCCACTCCCCCCATCTTCCCTCCCCCATCTCCCTCCCCCCATTTCCCCCCCCCCATTTCCCCCATTCCCCCCCCACCCCCACCCCCCTCCCCCATTTCCCACCCCCCCATTTCCCGTCCCCCCATTCCCCCCACATTCCCCCCCCATTTCCCCCCCCCCATCTCCCCCTCCCCCTCCCCCCCCATTTCCCCCCCCATTTCTCTCTCCCCCCATCCACCCATGGGTCCCCCCCCATCCCCCCCCCCCCCATTTCCCCTCTCCCCCCCCCCCCCATTCCCCCCCCCCCCCCATTTCCCACCCCCCCATTTCCCCCCCCATTTCTCTCCCCCCCCATCCCCCCCATCCCCCCCCCATTTCCCCCCCCCCCAGGTAACCCAATGGTTCCTTCCCCTTCCCCCCCCATTTCCCCCCCCCATTTCCCCCCCCCATTTCTCTCCCCCCCCATCCCCCCCCATCCCCCCCCCATCCCCCACCCACCCCATTTCTCTCCCCCCCATCCCCCCCATCCCCCCCCCCATTTCCCACCCCCCCCATTTCTCTCCCCCCGATCCCCCCCATCCCCCCCCCATTTCTCTCCCCCCCCATCCACCCCATCCCCCCCCCATCCCCCACCCACCCCATTTCTCTCCCCCCCCATCCCCCCCCTCCCCCATCCCCCCCCCATTTCCCACCCCCCCCATCCCCCCACACCTCCCCCCATCCCCCCCCCCCCAATTTCTCACCCCGGAAGCGCCCCCCCGGGTCCGTCGCCAGCCTCGCGGCCAGGGCCAGGCCGATGCCCGAGGAGCAGCCGGTGACGAGCACGGTGCGGGCCGGGGGGGCGGCCATGGCTGCGCCAAAGGCGCTTATGGGCTCAGGGCTCACGTGGGGAGAGGGAGCAAAGGGCAGCTGGGGGGGGGGGGAGGTGCCCCATAACCACGGTGTGGGGTCTGTGCCCCATAGCCTCAATGTGGGGTCTGTGCCCCATAGCCTCAGTGTGGGGTTTGTGCCCCATAGCCTCAGTGTGGGGTCTATGCCCCATAACCACGGTGTGGGGTTTGTGCCCCATAGCCTCAGTGTGGGGTCTATGCCCCATAACCACGGTGTGGGGTCTGCGCCCCATAGCCTCAGTGTGGGGTTTGTGCCCCATAGCCTCAGTGTGGGGTTTGTGCCCCATAACCTCAGTGTGGGGTTTGTGCCCCATAACCATGGTGGGGGACCTGTGCCCCATAGCCTCAGTGTGGGGTTTGTGCCCCATAGCCTCAGTGTGGGGTTTGTGCCCCATAACCATGGTGGGGGACCTGTGCCCCAGAGCCTCAGTGTGGGGTTTGTGCCCCATAGCCTCAGTGTAGGGTTTGTGCCCCATAACCACAGAGTGGTCTCTGTGCCCCATAACCTCAGTGTGTGCTCTGCGCCCCATAACCTCAATGTGGGGTCTGTGCCCCATAACCACAATGTGGGGTCTGTGCCCCATAACCACAGAGTGGTCTCTGTGCCCCATAACCTCAGTGTGTGCTCTGCGCCCCATAACCTCTCTGTGTCTCCGATCTCTGTGCCCCATAACCTCTCTGTGTCTCCGATCTCTGCACCCCATAACCTCTCTGTGGGTCTGCTCTCTGTGCCCCATAACCTCACTGTTTTCTCCGTCCCCCATAACCTCTCTGTGTCTCCGATCTCTGCACCCCATAACCTCTCTGTGGGGTTCGCACTCCGCTCCCCATAACCTCTCTGTGGGTCCGAGCTCTGTGCCCCATAACCTCTCTGTGTCTCTGCTCTCTGCACTCCATAACCTCTCTGTGGGTCCGATCTCTGTGCCCCATAACCTCACTGTTTTCTCTTTGCCCCATAACCTCTCTGTGGGGTTCGCGCTCCGCTCCCCATAACCTCTCTGTGGGTCCGCTCTCTGTGCCCCATAACCTCTCTGTGGGTCCGCTCTCTGTGCCCCATAACCTCACTGTTTTCTCCGCTCCCCATAACCTCTCTGTGGGTCCGGTCTCTGTGCCCCATAACCTCTCTGTGGGTCCGCTCTCTGCACCCCATAACCTCTCTGTGGGTCCGGTCTCTGTGCCCCATAACCTCTCTGTGGGTCCGGTCTCTGTGCCCCATAACCTCACTGTTTTCTCTTTGCCCCATAACCTCTCTGTGGGGTTCGCGCTCCGCCCCCCATAACCTCTCTGTGTCCCCAGGCTCTACCCCCCCTCCCCCCCCCCTTCCCCCCCCTCCCCCTCCTTCCCCCCCCTCCCCCCCTTCCAGTGCCGGTTCCCTCCCTCGGGCCGGGGCAGCGGGGCTGGGGGCGGACGCTCCCTCCCCCCCCTCCCCCCCTCCCCTCCCCCCTCCCGTTCCCGTCCCCTCCCCCCTCCCGTTCCCGTTCCCGTCCCGTTCATTCCCGTTCCTGTCCCGTTCCCGTCCCGTTCCCGTCCCGTTCATTCCCGTTCCCGTTCCCGTTCCCGTTCCCGTTCCCGTCCCGTTCATTCCCGTTCCCGTCCCGTTCCCGTTCCCGTTCCCGTTCCCGTTCCCATCCCGTTCATTCCCGTTCCCGTTCCCGTTCCAGTTCATTCCCGTTCCCGTCCCGTTCCCGTCCCGGTCATTCCCGTTCCCGTTCCCGTTCCCGTCCCGTTCATTCCCGTTCCCGTTCCCGTTCCCGTTCCCGTTCCCGTTCCCGTCCCGTTCATTCCCGTTCCCGTTCCCGTTCCCGTTCCCGTTCCCGTTCCCGTCCCGTTCATTCCTGTTCCCTCCCGTTCCCCTCCCGTTCCCGTCCCGTTCCCGTTCCCGTCCCGTTCCCGTCCCGTTCATTCCCGTTCCCGTTCCCGTTCCCGTCCCGTTCATTCCCGTTCCCGTCCCGTTCCCGTTCCCGTTCCCGTCCCGTTCCCGTCCCGTTCATTCCCGTTCCCGTTACTCCCGTCACTCCCGTTCCCGTCACTCCCGTTCCCGTTCCCGCTCCCGTCACTCCCGCTGTTCCCGTTCCGTTCCCGTTCCCGTTCCCGTCCCCGGTCCCGTCCCCGTTCCCGTTCCCGTTCCCGTTCCCGTCCCGTTCCCGTTCCCGTCCCGTTCATTCCCGTTCGGCTCCGCTCCGCTCCCGTTCCCGTCCCGTTCCCGTTCCCGTTCCCGTCCCGTTCCCGTTCCCGTTCGGCTCCGCTCCCGCCGAGCCCCGGCCATGGAACCCGCCCCGCTCCTCGCCGCGCTCCTCACGGCGCTGCAGGCGCTGCCCGCGGCCCGAGCAGGTACCGGGGGGGGGGGGGGGCGCATTCAGCACCACGGACAGGGGGGGAGGGGGGGGTGGGGGGGGTGGGGGGCACCCCCCTCCCCCAACAAGGTTTGGGGACACCCCCACGACAGACAAGATATGGGGTGTATGGGGCTATGGGGGGCTATGGGGCTATGGGGGGCTATGGGGGGCTATGGGGGGCTATGGGGGGCTATGGGGCTATGGGGGTGTATGGGGGCTATGGGGGGCTATGGGGGTGTATGGGGGCTATGGGGTGTATGGGGGCTATGGGGGGCTATGGGGGTGTATGGGGGCTATGGGGGCTTTGGGGCTATGGGGGTGTATGGGGACAATGGGGGCTATGGGGCTATGGGGGGGTATGGGGGCTATGGGGCTATGGGGCTATGGGGGCTATGGGGTGTATGGGGACAATGGGAGGTATGGGGGTTGTGGGGGGTGTGGGGGGTATGGGGGCTATGGGGTGTATGGGACTAGGGGGCTTTGGGGCTTTGGGGCTATGGGGGGGTATGGGGACTATGGGGGCTATGGGGTTATGGGGGCGATGGGGATGTATGGGGACAATGGGGGGCTATGGGGGCTATGGGGCTATGGGGGCTATGGGGGCTATGGGGGTTAAGGGGGGCTATGGGGCTATGGAGGCTAGAGAGGCTATGGGGTTATGGGGGCTATGGGGCCATGGGGGTTACGGGGCTATGGGGGCTATGGGTGTTACGGGGGCTATTGGGGTCTATGGGGCTATGGGGCTATGGGGGTTATGGGGCTATGGGGGGTTATGGGGCTATGGGGGGTTATGGGGCTATGGGGGGGCTATGGGGGTTATGGGGCTATGGGGGGTTATGGGGCTATGGGGGGGCTATGGGGGGCTATGGGGGTTATGGGGCTATGGGGGGGCTATGGGTCTATGGAGGTTATGGGGCTATGGGGGGTTATGGGGCTATGGGGGGTTATGGGGCTATGGGGTTATGGGGCTATGAGGTTATGGGGCTATGGGGTTATGGTGCTCTGGGACTATGAGGTTATGGGGCTATGAGGTTATGGGGCTATGGGTCTATGGGGGTTATGGTGCTATGGGGCTATGGGTGTTGTGGGTCCTACCCCCATTCCGGCTCTGCCCCCCCCGGTCCCGGGGTTCGCAGCCCCGGGGGGGGTCCCCGGGGAGCCCCCGGCAGGAAGCGGGGTCAGGAGGGGCCTGGGAGCGGCGCTGCTGGAGCCGGATCAGACCCGGGGGGGGGGGGAGGGGTAAACTGGGGACACCCCTCCCGTCCGAACCCCATTTGGGTGATGGGGGGGTCCCATGGGTGGGGGGGGTCCCATGGATAGGGGGATCCCATGGGTGGGGGGGTCCCATAGATAAGGGGTGTCCCATGGATGGGGGTGGGGGGGATCCCATAGATAAAGGGTGTCCCATGGATGGGGGTGCCCCATGGATGGGGGGGGTCCCATGGATAGGGGGATCCCATGGATGGGGGTGCCCCATGGGTGGGGGGGATCCCATAGATAAGGGGTGTCCCATGGATGGGGGTGTCCCATGGATGGGGGGATCCCATGGGTGGGGGGATCCCATGGATAATGGGGATCCCATGGATGGAGGGATCCCATAGATAAGGGGTGCCCCATGGATGGGGGTGCCCCATGGATGGGGGGATCCCATGGGTGGGGGGATCCCATGGATAATGGGGATCCCATGGATGGAGGGATCCCATAGATAAGGGGTGCCCCATGGATGGGGGGGTCCCATGGATGGGGGTGCCCCATGGATAACGGGGATCCCATGGATGGGGGGGGACCCCATAGATAAGGGGTGCCCCATGGATGGGGGTGCCCCATGGATGGGGGGGGATTCCATGGATGGGGGTGCCCCATGGATGGGGGGATCCCATGGATAATGGGGATCCCATGGATGGGGGTGTCCCATGGATAACGGCGATCCCATGGGTGGGGGGATCCCATGGATGGGGGGATCCCATGGATGGGGGTTTCCCATGTATGGGGGGATCCCATGGATGGGGGTGTCCCATGGATGGGGGTGCCCCATGGATGGGGGGATCCCATAGATAAGGGGGGCCCCATGGATAAGGGGTGCCCCATGGATTGGGGGTGCCCCATGGATCTGGGCTGGATCCCATCGCTGGAGGGGGGGTTCCCCCCTTGGGGCTCCCCCCACCCACGCGGAGCTCGCAGCTGCCTGGAGCGGGGCCGGAGCCTCTTGGCCGGACCCAGGCAGCGGCAGGGCCGGGGCCGCAGCGGCCGCGATGGGTGCTGAGCCCTGCTCCCCATGGGTGCTGAGCCCTGCTCCCCATGGGTGCTGAGCCCTGCTCCCCATGGGTGCTGAGCCCTGCTCCCTATGGGTGCTGAGCCCTGCTCCCTATGGGTGCTGAGCCCTGCTCCCTATGGGTGCTGAGCGCTGCTCCCTATGGGTGCTGAGCCCTGCTCCCCATGGGTGCTGAGCGCTGCTCCCCATGGGTGCTGAGCCCTGCTCCCCATGGGTGCTGAGCCCTGCTCCCTATGGGTGCTGAGCGCTGCTCCCTATGGGTGCTGAGCGCTGCTCCCTATGGGTGCTGAGCGCTGCTCCCCATGGGTGCTGAGCGCTGCTCCCTATGGGTGCTGAGCGCTGCTCCCCATGGGTGCTGAGCCCTGCTCCCCATGGGTGCTGAGCGCTGCTCCCTATGGGTGCTGAGCGCTGCTCCACATGGGTGCTGAGCGCTGCTCCCTATGGGTGCTGAGCGCTGCTCCCTATGGGTGCTGAGCCCTGCTCCCCATGGGTGCTGAGCGCTGCTCCCTATGGGTGCTGAGCCCTGCTCCCTATGGGTGCTGAGCTCCATCCCCATGGGTGCTGAGCTCCATCCCCATGGGTGCTGAGCTCCGTCCCCATGGGTGCTGAGCCCTGCTCCCTATGAGTGCTGAGCTCCATCCCTATGGGTGCTGAGCTCCATCCCCATGGGTTCTGATCTCCATCCCCATGGGTGCTGATCTCCATCCCCATGGGTGCTGAGCTCCATCCCCATAGGTGCTGAGCTCCGTCCCCATGGCTGCTGATCTCCATGCCCATGGGTGCTGAGCTCCATCCCCATGGGTCCCCCTATGGGTGCTGCATGGGTGAGCTCTCCCATGGGTGCTCGCTGCTATGGGTGCTGAGCTCCATGGGTGCCCCATGGGTGCTGCTGAGCTCCCCATGGGTGCTCCCTATGGGTGCTCAGCTCCATCCCCATGGGTGCTGAGCTCCGCTCCCATGGGTGCTGCTCCCATGGGTGCTCCCCAGCTCCATCATCCCTATGGGTGCTGAGCTCCTGCTCCCCATGGGTGCTCCCTATGGGTGCTGAGCCCTGCTCCCCATGGGTGCTGAGCTCCGTCCCCATGGGTGCTGAGCTCCATCCCCATGGGTGCTGAGCTCCATCCCTATGGGTGCTGAGCTCCATCCCCATGGGTGTTCAGCTCCATCCCTATGGGTGCTCAGCTCCATCCCCATGGGTGCTGAGCTCCGTCCCCATGGGTGCTGATCTCCATCCCCATGGGTGCTGAGCTCCATCCCTATGGGTGCTGAGCTCCATCCCCATGGGTGTTCAGCTCCATCACTATGGGTGCTGAGCTCCATCCCTATGGGTGCTGAGCTCCATCCCCATGGGTGCTGAGCTCCATCCCCATGGGTGCTGAGCTCCGTCCCCATGGGTGCTGAGCTCCGTCCCCATGGGTGCTGAGCTCCGTCCCCATGGGTGCTGAGCTCCGTCCCCATGGGTGCTGAGCTCCGTCCCCATGGGTGCTGAGCTCCATCCCTATGGGTGCTGAGCTCCGTCCCCATGGGTGCTGAGCTCCGTCCCCATGGGTGCTCAGCTCCATCCCCATGGGTGCTGAGCTCCGTCCCCATGGGTGCTCAGCTCCATCCCCATGGGTGCTCAGCTCCATCCCCATGGGTGCTGAGCTCCGTCCCCATGGGTGCTGAGCTCCGTCCCCATGGGTGCTGAGCTCCATCCCCATGGGTGCTGAGCTCCATCCCCATGGGTGCTGAGCATGGGTGCCGTCCCCATGGGTGCTGAGCTCCGTCCCCATGGGTGCTGAGCTCCGTCCCCATGGGTGCTGATCTCCATCCCCATGGGTGCTGAGCTCTGTCCCCATGGGTGCTGAGCTCCGTCCCCATGGGTGCTGAGCTCCATCCCCATGGGTGCTGAGCTCCATCCCTATGGGTGTTCAGCTCCGTCCCCATGGGTGCTGAGCTCCGTCCCCATGGGTGCTGAGCGCTGTCCCTGCCCTCGCAGTGGACGTGCTGCGGGCGCTGGGGATGCAGCCCGGCCTCCATGGGGTCTCGGTCACCGCCGGGCTCTGCCCGCAGCGCCCCGGGGCCGTGGGGCCGGACCTGGCGCTCCGCGTGGACAACGGCACCCGGCACAGCGCGCCCACCCGCCTGCTCTTCCCCGGTACGGCACCCACCGGCCCCGGTACCAGCGCCCACTGATGGGTGCTCCAGTCATGGGTGCCCAATGGGGGGTGCCCGATGGTGGACGCATCAATGGTGGGTACCCAGTGATGGATGCCCCAATGATGGGTGCCCAATGGTGGGTTCCCAATGGTGGACGCATCAATGGTGGGTACCCAGTGATGGGTGCCCAATGGGGGGTACCCAATGGTGGATGCATCAGTGGTGGGAACCCCAATGATGGGTGCCCCAATGATGGGTGCCCAATGGTGGATACCCAATGGTGGACGCATCAATGGTGGGTTCCCCATTGATGGGTGCCCCAATGATGGGTGCCCAATGGTGGACTCATCAATGGTGGGTACCCCATTGATCGGTGCCCAATGGTGGGTTCCCAATGGTGGACTCATCAATGGTGGGTGCCGCATTGATGGGTGCCCAATGGTGGGTTCCCAATGGTGGACGCATCAATGGTGCGTACCCAGTGATGGGTGCCCAAATGATGGGTGCCCCAGTGATAGATTCCCAATGATGGGTGCCCACTGATGGATACCCCACTGATGGGTTCCCAATAATAGATTCCCAATGATGGGTGTCCCATTGATGGATACCCCATCGATGGGTTCCCCATGATGGATTCCCAGTGATGGGCACCCAATGATGGATGTCCCACTGATGGATACCCCACTGATGGGTTCCCAATGATGGGCACCCAATGATGGATGTCCCATTGATGGATACCCCACCGATGGGTTCCCCATGATGGATTCCCAATGATGGGCACCCAATGATGGAAGTCCCAATGATGGATGTCCCATTGATGGATACCCCACTGATGGGTTCCCAATGATGGGCACCCAATGATGGATGTCCCATTGATGGATACCCCACCGATGGGTTCCCCATGATGGATTCCCAATGCTGGGCACCCAATGATGGATGTCCTATTGATGGATACCCCACCGATGGGTTCCCCATGCTGGGCACCCAATGATGGATGTCCCATTGATGGATACCCCACCGATGGGTTCCCCATGATGGATTCCCAATGATGGGCACCCAATGATGGATGTCCCATTGATGGATACCCCACTGATGGGTTCCCAATGCTGGGCACCCAATGATGGGTGTCCCATTGATGGATACCCCACCGATGGGTTCCCCATGATGGGTTCCCAATGATGGGCACCCAATGATGGATGTCCCACTGATGGATACCCCACTGACGGGTACCCAACGGTGGATACCCACCCATGGGTTCCCACTGACGGATGTCCCCCCACCTCCTCCCCACGGCAGACAGCCCCTTCCCGGAGGACTTCTCCATCCTGGCCACGGTGCGCGCGCGCCGTGGGGCTCAATCCTTCCTTCTCTCCGTGCACGACGAGCGTGGGGCGCAGCAGCTGGGCATGGAGCTGGGGCTCTCTCCGGTCTTCCTCTACGAGGACCAGGATGGGAATCCACCTCCGGAGCGTTACCCCACCTTCCATAGGGTCAACCTTGCCGACGGCCGGTGGGTGCTGCGGGGATGCGCAGGATGGGGTCCCTCTGCACCCTTGGGCCCCATCCAGCCCCATATGTGTGGGTGCAGGTGGCACCGCGTGGCCCTGGCCGTGGAGGGCACCAACGTCTCCTTGATGGTCGATTGTCACCTCGTGGCCACGCTGCCGCTGCCACGGGGACCTCGGCCCCTGCTCAGCACCCAAGGGGTCACCGTGGTCGGTGGGCGCCTGATGGATGAGGAGAGCTTCGAGGTGGGTCTGGCCCTGCACCCTGGTCCTGACCGGGGGGGGGGCACCCCACTGGGCACGGTCTGGAGAGGCCCCAATAGCACTGGGGGTGCTCCCTGCCCCTCTGCTGTGGCCCCATCCCTTGTGTTGTGGCCCCATCCCCTGCTCTGTGGCCCCATCCCCTTCCCTCTGTTCCCTCTGTCCCCATCCCTTTTCCCTCCGTCCCCATCCCTTTTCCCTCCGTCCCCATCCCTTTCCCTCTGTCCCCATCCCTTTCCCTCTGTCCCCATCCCTTTTCCCTCTGTCCCCATCCCTTTCCTTCTGTCCCCATCCCTTTCCCTCCGTCCCCATCCCTTTTCCCTCTGTCCCCATCCCTTTCCCTCTGTCCCCATCCCTTTCCCTCTGTCCCCATCCCTTTCCCTCTGCCCCTATCCCTTTCCCTCTGTCCCCATCCCTTTCCCTCTGTCCCCATCCCTTTCCCTCTGTCCCCATCCCTTTCCCTTTCCCTCTGTCCCCATCCCTTTCCTTTCTGTGCCCCTATCCCTTTCCCTCTGTCCCCATCCCTTTCCCTCTGTCCCCATCCCTTTTCCCTCTGTCCCCATCCCTTTCCCTCTGTCCCCATCCCTTTCCCTCTGTCCCCATCCCTTTCCTTCTGTCCCTATCCCTTTCCCTCTGTCCCCATCCCTTTCCCTCCGTCCCCATCCCTTTCCCTCTGTCCCCATCCCTTTCCCTCTGTCCCCATCCCTTTCCCTCTGTCCCCATCCCTTTCCCTCTGTCCCCATCCCTTGTATTGTGTCCCCATCCCCTGCTCTGTGTCCCCATCCCTTTCCCTCTGTCCCCATCCCTTTCCCTCTGTCCCCATCCCTTTCCCTCTGTCCCCATCCCCTGCCTGCATTCCTGCTGCCTACAAATGCCAATGCCCACGGGCAAAGAGGCACCATTGAGGGCCCCCCCCCTCCTTTGTCCCCACAAGGCTCCCTTTGTTCACTGCCCCCCCCATCCGCCTTCCCACGGGGATGCTTTGGGGCACCCCAAGAGCCGTGGGGTGCGGTTATGGGGGGGGTCAGACCCATATGTCCCCCCCTTTGTTCCTTGCTGTAGGGGGACATCCAGCAGCTGCTGGTGCTGCCGGACCCCGAGGCCGCTCGCTCCTATTGCCAGCTCCACATGCCAGGCTGCCAGCACCCCCTGCGCTTCCCGCTCCATGCCCCATTCCCGGAGGAGGTGAGCACCCGAGGACCCCCCCCCCAGCACCCTACAGGGTCCCTCCTGTCTCTATTGACCCCCCCCAACTTTGCAGAGCACCCCGGAGCCTTCCTCTGCCCCACGCAGGAAGGGCAAAGGGAAAGGCAAGCGCAAGGGCAAAGGCAAGAAGAAGAGGAACAAGGAGGCGGTGGAGCAGGATGAGGCCCCTGCCGTGGGCAGCAGGGTACGGGAGGTGCTTAACCCCTTCCCAGTTAACCCAGTGAGCCCAGTTCAAGCTCCTGCGCGGTGGGGTGGCCCCCGACCCGCTCTATAGGGAATAGGGGGTGGACCCAAAGCACCGCTCCTGCATCCAGAGCCATTCCCGGCCTCCTCCTTGGGCTGGAGCAGGATTGGGCCCCATTCCATTGGGCTGGAGCAGGATGTGGCTCCGTTGGCTCCGGCTCCTCCTTGGGATCTATGGGATCCGTGCATGAGTCAACCCTTGGATGAGCCCAGGCCAGGAGCTGCAGCGGCTCCCTCTTGCTTTCCCCTCATCCCCAAAAAAGGGGCCCGATCCTGATGCTCTCAGCACCTCGACGCCAGCACCCAGCTCCCAGCCAGCCACCGCCATCAGCATCCCCCTGAACCCCTCCACGGTAACAGCAGCAGGGGCAGGAAGCGGGGATCCCCCCCCGTTTGCATCCCTACATCTCCCCCCGATCCCATAGGATACAGGGAAGGAGCTGGAGGAGGATGGCACCGGCAGCACCGGCTATGAGGACCCCAGCAACGGGGATCCTGGGATCCGGGAGCGCTTCGTCCCTGCTGACTGGGATGCGCTGGTGATCCCGGTTGCCCAGGTAACGCTGGGGGTGAGGATGGGACCCCCCCAACACAGGCTTTGGTTGTGGGGGGTCCCTTCATCCCAGCTCCCCCTTCCTCCTCCTCATGCAGGAGCCCGGCTTGAAGGGGGACAAGGGGGAACCAGGCAGCGTGGAGCCGGTGAGTGGGGCCCCAGGGGCCTTGTGCCCCCCCCGTTTCCCATCCTTCATGCCCCCCCCTTTATGATGCTCTTGGGGCCTCTTTCCCTTTAGGGTCGTGGATTCGAGGGGCCCCCGGGACCCCCAGGCCCTGCGGTGAGGAGCCGGGAGCCGCGATGGGAAGGGTCGGCAGCTTCCCGAAGCCTCACGGTGCCTTTGTGTTCCCATAGGGAGAACCGGGGCCCCCGGGCCCCCCGGGGCTGCCAGGGCTGCCCGGGGACCGCGGGGATCAGGTACGGAGCAGCCGGGGTCCTGCTGGGACCCGTCGGTGCCTGCAGGGGGATGGAGCTGCGAGCCCGGACCTGAGAGCGCTGCTCAGCACCCCCCCCCTCCTCCTCCGCTTCCCATCCCCTTTCCCATCCCATTCCAGGGTCCCGCGGGACGGCCGGGGCTGCCTGGAGCTGACGGGATCCGCGGCCCCGCAGGGACCATCCTCATGCTGCCGGTAACGAGCAGGATGGGGCCCGCCGGTGGGGAGCGGGGACGTGGGTGCGGGGATGCTCCGGGTGCCCTCATCCTGCTCCTTGCCTCCAGTTCCAGTTTGGAAGCGACTCCCTCAAGGGTCCCACTGTTTCCTTCCAAGAGGCTCAAGCCCAAGCGATCCTGCAGCAGGCAAAGGTGGGGACCCCCCTCTCCAAGACCTCTTCTTCCTCCCTCCCCTTCATCCCTCTTCTTCCTCCTCCTTCCTCCCTCTTCTTCCTCCTTCGTCCCTCTTCTTCCTCCTCCTTCATCCCTCTTCCTCCTCCTTCATCCTTCTTCCTCCTCCTTCCTCCCTCTTCTTCCTCCTTCGTCCCTCTTCTTCCTCCTTCGTCCCTCTTCTTCCTCCTTCCCCTTCATCCCTCTTCTTCCTCCTTCATCCTTCTTCTTCCTCCTTCATCCTTCTTCTTCCTCCTTCATCCCTCTTCTTCCTCCTTCGTCCCTCTTCTTCCTCCTTCCCCTTCATCCCTCTTCTTCCACCTTCATCCCTCCTTCTTCCACCTTCATCCCTCATCTTCCTCCTTCATCCCTCTTCTTCCTCCTTCGTCCTTCTTCTTCCTCCTTCCCCTTCATCCTTCTTCTTCCACCTTCATCCTTCTTCTTCCTCCTTCATCCCTCTTCTTCCTCCTTCATCCCTCTTCTTCCTCCTTCGTCCCTCTTCTTCCTCCCTCCCCTTCATCCCTCTTCTTCCACCTTCGTCCCTCCTTCTTCGACCTTCATCCCTCATCTTCCTCCTTCATCCCTCTTCTTCCTCCTTTGTCCCTCTTCTTCCTCCTTCCCCTTCATCCCTCTTCTTCCTCCTTCCCCTTCATCCTTCTTCTTCCACCTTCATCCTTCTTCTTCCTCCTTCATCCTTCTTCTTCCTCCTTCATCCCTCTTCTTCCTCCTTCCTCCTTCATCCCTCTTCTTCCTCCTATCCACAGCTTGCCATGAAGGGTCCCCCGGGTCCCATGGGCCTCACCGGCCGCCCAGGCCCCCTGGTGAGTACCAGCGCAGGGTCCCCCCCCCACCCCATCACCCATCTCCCTCGAGCATCACCACATGCATCCCCCCATCATCACCCCCCCCCCCCCGCCTTGTTATTGTAGGGTCTACCAGGACACCCGGGCCTGAAAGGGGACGCGGGGGATGTGGGGCCAAGGGTGAGTGGGGCTCGGTGGGGCCAGCTGCCTGCAGCAGACCCAGCTCTGATGCTCTTCTCCTCTCCATCAGGGGCCCCGCGGGATGCAGGGAGCACCGGGACCCCCGGGCAAGCTGGGCAGACGGGTACCACAGCTGGGGGTCCCCTTCTGCCCCCCTCCTTCGAGATCCAGGAGGCTCCTTTCCCATCCCCATCCCAAAGGAGCCCTCAGCCCCTTCCCATTCCTCTCATTCCAGGGCCGTGCTGGAGCTGACGGTGCCAGGGGGCTCCCGGGGGAACCCGGCCCCAAGGTGTTGTGAACGGGGCAGGATGGGTGCTGAGCTGGGGGGGTGATGGGACCCCCCCCCCATGTCCTTGTTGTATGTGTGGGGGGGTGATGTGGGGCTCACCCTGATGCTTGTCCCACCCCATAGGGCGACAGAGGCTTCGATGGGCTGCCGGGGCTGCCGGGGGAGAAGGGGCACAGGGTAAGCGGGGCCAGCGCCGGGTCCCATCCTGTCCCATCCATCCCCATCCTGCTTCACCCTGCGTCCTCTGCAGGGGGACGTGGGGAAGCCGGGACCAGCAGGACCCCCAGGGGAGAAAGGGGCCAAGGTGAGGAGCAAGGGCAGGGATGGGGAAGGCGCTGCCGGGGCCGGGATGTGCTCAGCACCTCTTTGTTGTCCCCCCAACTCCAGGGCTTCGATGGCCCCCCTGGACCTCGGGGGCAGGCGGGGGAAGCGGTGAGTGCCTCTCCCAGCCTGGGGCATGGGGGGTGCTGGGGGCACTGAGGCCTCCTCAACCCTTCCTCTCCTTGCTTTTAGGGCAGCAGAGGCTTGATCGGCTCCCGGGGCTCCCCCGGGCCCCCTGGACCACCGGTAGGAGACTGAGCCTGTCCCCACCTCCAAGCACCCAGCAGCGCAGGCAGGGCAGCACCTTGGGGTGCAGCATCCCTTTGGGTGCAGCATCAGTTTGGGATGAGCATCACCTTGGGGTGCAGCATCAGTTGGGATGAGCATCACCTTGGGGTGCAGCATTAGTTGGGGTGCAGCATCACCTTTGGGTGCAGCATCACCTTGGGATGAGCATCACCTTGGGGTGCAGCATCACTTTGGATGCAGCATCACCTTTGGGTGCAGCATCACTTTGGGGTGCAACATCCCTTTGGATGCAGCATCACCTTGGGATGAGCATCACCTTGGGATATGCACCACCTTGGGGTGCAGCATCACTTTGGATGCAGCATCACCTTTGGGTGCAGCATCACCTTTGGGTGCAGCATCAGTTGGGGTGCAGCATCACCTTGGGATGAGCATCACCTTGGGATGAGCATCACCTTGGGATGAGCATCACCTTGGGGTGCAACATCCCTTTGGATGCAGCATCACCTTGGGATGAGCATCACCTTGGGGTGCAGCATCACTTTGGATGCAGCATCACCTTTGGGTGCAGCATCACTTTGGGGTGCAACATCCCTTTGGATGCAGCATCACCTTGGGATGAGCATCACCTTGGGATATGCACCACCTTGGGGTGCAGCATCACTTTGGATGCAGCATCACCTTTGGGTGCAGCATCACCTTTGGGTGCAGCATCAGTTGGGGTGCAGCATCACCTTGGGATGAGCATCACCTTGGGATGAGCATCACCTTGGGATGAGCATCACCTTGGGGTGCAACATCCCTTTGGATGCAGCATCACCTTGGGATGAGCATCACCTTGGGATATGCACCACCTTGGGGTGCAGCATCACTTTGGATGCAGCATCACCTTTGGGTGCAGCATCACCTTGGGGTGCAGCATCACTTTGGGGTGCAGCATCACTTTGGGATGAACATCACTTTGGGTGCAGCATCCCCTTGGGGCTCAGCATCCCCCAACCCTCCTTCCTTTCCCCACAGGGTACCAGTGGCATTGACGGAGCACCAGGACCTAAAGGCAACGTGGTGGGTACCACTGGGACACCCCCCTAACCCCTAACCCTAACACCCCCAAACTGGATTAACCGGGATGCTCCTGGAATGGGAACCAAACCCCCCCTCCCCTTCCCTAGGGAATCCATGGAGAACCAGGACCCCCGGGGCAGCAAGGGAGCCCCGGTCCACAGGTACCTGAAGGCGATGGGTGCCAATGGGGGTCCCTATGGGGCTGGGGGGGGGGGCACCCTGAGCCCCTTCCCATCACCCTCATGTGTTCTCCCCCAGGGTCTTCCCGGTCCCCAGGGCCCCGTGGGGCTGCCGGGGGAGAAGGTGAGTCCGGAGCTGGTGTGGGTGACAGGGATCCCATCCCGATCCCTCGGCATCCCTAACGCCTCCCGCTCCCACCCAGGGCCAGCCGGGAAAGCCGGGAATGCCGGGGGTGGCCGGAGCCGATGGGCCCCCGGTGAGTAACAACCGCGGGGCTGTGGGATCGCTGTGGGGAGCGCCGGGAATCATCCCAAATCCCGGCTCTTGTGCATCCCTGCAGGGTCACCCCGGCCGGGAAGGGCCAGCGGGAGAGAAGGGCCTGCAGGTAATGGGGTGCTCCCAGGCCTTATGGCCCGGGATGGGGAATTAGGGGCCTTGTTCCCATGGGAATGGGGTCCTTATTCCAAGGGGAATGGGGTCCTTATTCCCATGGGAATAGGGTCCTTATTCCATGGGGAATGGGGTCCTTATTCCATGGGAGTGGGGTCCTTATTCCATGGGGAATGGGGTCCTTATTCCATGGGAGTGGGGTCCTTATTCCCATGGGAATAGGGTCCTTATTCCAAGGGGAATGGGGTCCTTATTCCAAGGGAATGGGGTCCTTATTCCAAGGGGATTAGGGTCCTTATTCCAAGGGGAATGGGGTCCTTATTCCATGGGAGTGGGGTCCTTATTCCATGGGGAATGGGGTCCTTATTCCCATGGGAGTGGGGTCCTTATTCCATGGGGAATGGGGTCCTTATTCCATGGGAGTGGGGTCCTTATTCCATGGGGAATGGGGTCCTTATTCCCATGGGGAATGGGGTCCTTATTCCAAGGGGATTAGGGTCCTTATTCCATGGGGAATGGGGTCCTTATTCCCATGGGGAATGGGGTCCTTATTCCAAGGGGATTAGGGTCCTTATTCCAAGGGGAATGGGGTCCTTATTCCATGGGGGGATCCATGGGAGTGGGGTCCTTATTCCAAGGGGAATGGGGTCCTTATTCCCATGGGGAATGGGGTCCTTATTCCAAGGGGATTAGGGTCCTTATTCCAAGGGGAATGGGGTCCTTATTCCCATGGGAATAGAGTCCTTATTCCAAGGGGAATGGGGTCCTTATTCCCATGGGAATGGGGTCCCCATTCCAAGGGGAAGTTCTCATCTTTGCTGTCTCTGTCCCAGGGCCCTGTGGGTCCCCCGGGTCCCATTGGCTACCCAGGACCCCGCGGGGTGAAGGTAGGTGCAGCCCCCCCCCCCCACCCCCCAAAGGCACAATGGGGGGATCCAAGGGGTGCCCCACCCCCCCATTGGGTTCCCCCCTTTGACCCCCCCCCCATATCCCTGCAGGGAGCCTTTGGTGTGCGGGGCCTGAAGGGCAGCAAAGGGGAAAAGGTGAGGGGGGAGCGTGGGGGGGCAATGGGGGTGTTGGGGGGCACTGAGGGTGGGGGGAACCCCCCCTTTGGGGTGGGATTTGGGGCTCAGCCCCCACCAAATGTGCCCCTTGTGCAGGGAGAAGATGGATTCCCCGGCTTCAGGGGGGACCTGGGCCCCAAGGGGGAAAGGGTAAGGATGGGGGGAGCCATTGGGGGGGTGCTGCAGGATGGGGGGAGCCATTGGGGGGTGCTGCAGGATGGGGGGTCCCATTGGGGGGGTGCTGCAGGATGGGGGGAGCCATTGGGGGGTGCTGCAGGATGGGGGGAGCCATTGGGAGGGTGCTGCAGGATGTGGGGAGCCATTGGGAGGGTGCTGCAGGATGTGGGGTCCCATTGGGGGGGTGCTGCAGGATGGGGGGTGCCATTGGGGGTGCCATTGGGGGGGGTTCTGCAGGATAGGAGGTACCATTGGGGGGATGCTGCAGGATGTGGGGTCCCATTGGGGGTGCCATTGGGGGGGTGCTGCAGGATAGGAGGTACCATTGGGGGGAAGCTGCAGGATGTGGGGTCCCATTGGGGGTGCCATTAGGGGGTGCTGAAGGATGGGGGGTGCTGTTGGGGGGGTGTTACTGGGACACTCAGAGCTCCATGGGGAGCAACCCCACATCCCTGTGGTCCCGTTCCAGGGGGACCAGGGCCCGCTGGGACCCCGCGGTGAGGATGGGCCCGAGGGGATGAAGGGAGAGGAGGGAATGATGGGGGAGCCCGGAGGGACCGGACCTGTGGGAGAGAAGGTGAGAGGGCGGGCTGTCACAGCATCCCTGCATCCCTGTATCCCTGTACCCCTATACCCCTGTATCCCTGCATCCCTGTATCCCTGCATCCCTCTATCCCTCTATCCCTGCATCCCTGTATCCCTGCATCCCTGCATCCCTGTATCCCTACATCCCTGTATCCCTGTACCCCTGTATCCCTGCATCCCTGTACCCCTGTATCCCTATCCCTGCATCCCTGTACCCCTGTACCCCTGTATCCCTGCATCCCTGCATCCCTGTATCCCTGTATCCCTGTATCCCTACATCCCTGTATCCCTGTATCCCTACATCCCTGTGTCCCTGCGTCCCTGTGTCCCTGCATCCCTGTATCCCTGCATCCCTGCGTCCCTGTATCCCTGCATCCCTGTATCCCTGCATCCGTGTATCCCTCTATCCCTGTATCCCTGTATCCCTGCATCCCTGCATCCCTGTATCCCTGTATCCCTGCATCCCTGTATGCCTGTGTCCCTGTATCCCTGCATCCCTGCATCCCTGTATCCCTGCATCCCTGCACCCCTGTATCCTGCATCCCGAGTCACTGTCCCGAGCTCTCTCTGTCTCCGCAGGGCCGGCTCGGTGTTCCAGGTCTCCCGGGCTATCCCGGGCGCCAGGGTCCCAAGGTGAGCAGGGCGAGCGCCGGGGTGTCCCTGGCAGCCTCCTGCGGGTATCCCGGGATTGGCACTTGTGCTCCTTGTCCTCAGGGATCCACCGGCTTCCCCGGTGCCGTGGGGCTGGCGGGAGAGAAGGGCAAGAGGGTGAGTGAGCCCATCCCACTCCATCCCATCTCATCCCATCCCTTCCATTCCATCCCATCCAATCCCATCCCATCCCATCCCGTCCCATCCCTTCCATCCCATCTCATCCCATCCCTTCCATCCCATCTCATCCCATCCCTTCCATTCCATCCCATCCCATCCCTTCCATCCCATCCCGTCCCATCCCTTCCATCCCATCTCATCCCATCCCTTCCATTCCATCCCATCCCATCCCATCCCTTCCATCCCATCCCATCTCATCCCATCCCATCTCATCCCATCCCCTCCATCTCATCCCATCCCTTCCATCCCATCCCATCCCATCCCATCCCATCCCATCCCATCCCATCCCATTCCTTCCCATTCCTTCCATCCCATCCCATTCCTTCCATCCCATCACATCCCTTCCATCCCATCCCATCCCATCCCATCCCATCCCATCCCATCCCATCCCATCCCATCCCTTCCATCCCATCTCATCCCATCCCTTCCACCCCATCCCATCCCTTCCACCCCATCCCATCCCTTCCATCCCATCCCACCCCATCCTTCCCCTGTGGCCATGTGGGGCTGCCCCATAACTGCTGCTCTCTCCCACAGGGCAAGGCTGGCCAGGCCGGACCAACGGGGCAGCGAGGGCCCCTGGTGAGTCGCCCCCCAGCCCCGGGTACCCATTCCCATATGGATTCATCCCATAGGAGCCATTCCAGGCCCGGCTCCACCCCATCCAACCGATCAGTGGCAATGAGGCTGGAGCTGGCTGCATCCCACAGCAACCAGACCCTGGGGACCATTGTGATCCCAGCTCCTGCCTGTATCCCATGGGAAGCAGCCTGTGTCCCACTCCCATCCCTGTCCCCCATCAGCCCACCCCATTCCCTGCCCCACACCTCCTCACCCCACTCTTTGCCTCCATAGGGTATCCCAGGGGATCGAGGTCTTCCTGGACCCACAGGAAAACCTGGACCCAAAGTAGGTGGGAGCCTGACCATGGGGTCCCCATTGTCCCCCCCCAGATCCCCATCTCCCTTCTCCCAGCTCCATGTCCATGGGAAAGGGGAATGGGGCTGGGATTGGGGTGGGATGATGGGGGACAGGGAGCTGGGAGAGGGGAATGGGGCCGGGATTGGAGTGGGATGATGGGGGACAGGGAGCTGGGAGAGGGGAATGGGGCCGGGATTGGGGTGGGATGATGGGGGACAGGGAGCCGGGAGAGGGGAATGGGGCTGGGATTGGGGTGGGATGATGGGGGACAGGGGGACGGGAGAGGGGAATGGGGCTGGGATTGGGGTGGGATGATGTGGGACAGGAAGCAAGGAGAGGGGAATGGGTCTCGGATTGGGGTGGGATGATGGGGGACAGGGAGCCGGGAGAGGGGAATGGGGCCGGGATTGGGGTGGGATGATGCGGGACAGGGGGACAGGAGAGGGGAATGGGGCTGGGATTAGGGTGGGATGATGGGGGACAGGGAGCCAGGAGAGGCGAATGGGGCTGGGATTGGGGTGGGATGATGGGGGACAGGGAGCTGGGAGAGGGGAATTGGGCTGGGATTGGGGTGGGATGATGGGGGACAGGGAGCTGGGAGAGGGGACTGGGGCCGGGATTGGGGTGGGATGATGGGGGACAGGGGGACGGGAGAGAGGAATGGGGCTGGGATTGGGGTGGGATGATGGGGGACAGGGAGCTGGGAGAGGGGAATGGGGCTGGGATTGGTGTGGGATGATGGGGGACAGGGAGCTGGGAGAGGGGAATGGGGCCGGGATTGGAGTGGGATGATGGGGGACAGGGAGCCAGGAGAGGGGAATGGGGCTGGGATTGGTGTGGGATGATGGGGGACAGGGAGCTGGGAGAGGGGAATGGGGCTGGGATTGGGCTGGGATGATGGGGGACAGGGAGCTGGGAGAGGGGAATGGGGCTGGGATTGGTGTGGGATGATGGGGGACAGGGAGCTGGGAGAGGGGAATGGGGCTGGGATTGGGGTGGGATGATGGGGGACAGGGAGCTGGGAGAGGGGAATGGGGCTGGGATTGGGTGGGATGATGGGGGACAGGGAGCTGGGAGAGGCGAATGGGGCTGGGATTGGGGTGGGATGATGGGGGACAGGGGGACAGGAGAGGGGAATGGGGCTGGGATTGGGGTGGGATGATGGGGGACAGGGAGCCGGGAGAGGGGAATGGGGCTGGGATTGGGGTGGGATGATGGGGGACAGGAGAGAGGAATGGGGCCGGGATTGGGGTGGGATGATGCGGGACTGGGAGCCGGGAGAGGGGAATGGGGCCGGGATTGGGGTGGGATGATGGGGGACAGGGAGCCAGGAGAGGGGAATGGGGCCGGGATTGGGGTGGGATGATGGGGGACAGGGGGACGGGAGAGAGGAATGGGGCTGGGATTGGGGTGGGATGATGGGGGACAGGGAGCCAGGAGAGGGGAATGGGGCTGGGATTGGGGTGGGATGACGGGGGACAGGGAGCCGGGAGAAGGGGCACTGGGGATGCTCCTCCTGTTCCTGTATCCCAAGGGAGATCCCGGCCATGACGGAGCCCCTGGAGCAGTGGGAGAGAAGGTAAATGGGATGCTGCAGAGATACCTCGGGAAGGGATCCGGCATTCCCGGCACATGGAGAGGCTCTGCTTATGGGGGGGATCTCTCCCCTTCCCATAGGGTCCTCCAGGTCCAGAGGGACCCAGCGGCTTCCCGGGTACCAAAGGACCCCCTGTAAGTGATGGGGGGGGGGGGCAATGGGGCAGGCAGGGAATGGGGAGTGCATCCCACATCCTGATCCCGAGTGTCCTGCCCAGGGTCCTGCCGGGAAGGACGGCTTGCCGGGACACCCAGGTCAGCGCGGCGAGCCGGTGGGTGCTCTGATCCCTGTGTCCCTGTGTCCCTGTGTCCCAGTGTCCCTGAATCCTTGTATCCCTGTATCCCTGCATCCCTGCATCCCTGTATCCCTACATCCCTGTATCCCTGTGTCCCTGTGTCCCTGTGTCCCTGTGTCCCTGTATCCCTGTATCCCTGCATCCCTGTATCCCTGAATCCCTGTGTCCCTGTGTCCCTGCATCCCTGTGTCCCTGTGTCCCTGTGTCCCTGTATCCCTGTATCCCTCTGTCCCTGAATCCTTGTATCCCTGTATCCCTGCATCCCTGCATCCCTGTATCCCTACATCCCTGTATCCCTGTGTCCCTGTGTCCCTGTGTCCCTGTGTCCCTGTATCCCTGTATCCCTGCATCCCTGTATCCCTGAATCCCTGTATCCCTGTGTCCCTGTGTCCCTGCATCCCTGTGTCCCTGCATCCCTGCATCCCTGTATCCCTACATCCCTGTATCCCTGTGTCCCTGTGTCCCTGTATCCCTGTATCCCTGCATCCCTGTATCCCTGAATCCCTGTATCCCTGTGTCCCTGTATCCCTACATCCCTGTATCCCTGTGTCCCTGTGTCCCTGTGTCCCTGTATCCCTACATCCCTGTATCCCTGTGTCCCTGTGTCCCTGTATCCCTGTATCCCTGTGTCCCTGACCATCATTACCCCTTTCTCCTCTGCAGGGCTTCCATGGCCGCACAGGCCCCCCTGGCCCCACAGGGGTGGTGGGCCCCCAGGTGAGCACCAGGAGGTGGGATGTAGGAGGAGGTGGGATGCAGGAAGATGTGGGATGCAGGAAGATGTGGGATGCAGGAGAAGGTGGGATGAGGCAGGAGATGGGATACAGCAGGAGATGGGGTACAGCAGGAGATGGGATACAGCAGGAGATGGGATGAGGCAGGAGATGGGATGCAGGAGGAGGTGGGATACAGCAGAAGATGGGATGCAGGAGGAGATGGGATGAGGCAGGAGATGGGATGCAGGAGGAGGTGGGAAGCAGCAGGAGATGGGATGCAGCAGGAGATGGGATGAGGCAGGAGATGGGATACAGCAGGAGATGGGATGAGGCAGGAGATGGGATGAGGCAGGAGATGGGATGAGGCATGAGATGGGATACAGCAGGAGATGGGATGCAGGAGGAGATGGGATGCAGCAGGAGATGGGATATAGCAGGAGATGGGATGAGGCAGGAGATGGGATGAGGCAGGAGATGGGATGAGGCAGGAGATGGGATACAGCAGGAGATGGGATGCAGGAGGAGATGGGATGCAGCAGGAGATGGGATATAGCAGGAGATGGGATGAGGCAGGAGATGGGATGCAGGAGGAGATGGGATGCAGCAGGAGATGGGATGCAGCAGGAGATGGGGTACAGCAGGAGATGGGATGCAGGAGGGTGTGGGATGCAGGACGAGGTTGGATGTGGGACCCCCCCCCCCAACTCCTCACCCTCCTCCTGCCCCACAGGGGAAATCAGGAGAGACGGGACCCATGGGGGAAAGGGGACACCCGGGCCCCCCCGGTCCCCCCGGCGAGCAGGGCCTGCCCGGAGCCGCCGGCCGAGAGGGAGCCAAGGTGGGAGCATTCCCCGAGTCCCGAGGAGCCATTCCCAGGCTCTGGAATCGCTGCAGGATCCAGGACCCCCCCGTTATCCCCCCTGCAGGGTGATCCCGGTCCCTCCGGCATTCCCGGGAAGAGCGGCCCCGCCGGCATCCGCGGCTTTCCCGGTCCACGGGGCGCATCCGGAGCCCCGGTGGGTGCTGGGTGAGCAGGGTCCGCGTGTGCTGCTCGGGGTCGGCTCCTTCCCAACGCATTCCACGCTCTCCTGCAGGGCCCTCCTGGATTGAAGGGTTGGGAAGGACCCCCCGGGCCCCCTGGACCCACAGTGAGTGCTTCCCCCCCCCCCCCCCTTGCATCCCGGTTGTTTCCTTTTCCAAAGGTTGGGAATTTCCTCCTTCCCCCCCCCCCCCATCACCTTTGTCTTCTCCATAGGGCCCCCCCGGAGAGCGAGGTCCCATGGGAGCTGCTGGAAGCATCGGGATGCCCGGCCGGGGGGGGGCACAGGGACCCCCCGGTCCCATAGGAGAGAAGGGGTCCCCGGTAGGTTCCGGGGTGTCCCCCCCCCGTGTCCCCTCCTCTGTGCTCCTTGGCTGCGGGCACGGGGGTCTCCGTTATCCCGGTATCCCAGGGCATCCTGCCCCTTCCTGCCCGCAGGGGGAGCGAGGTGCTATGGGTCCGGCTGGGCTGGATGGGATCCGTGGTCCCATGGGATTGCCCGGTCCAGGCGGTGCCCCCGGTCCCTCTGGAGAAGATGGGGATAAGGTGAGCAGGGAGGATGGAGTGGGATGGGATGGGGTGGGATGGGATGGGGTGGGATAGGGTGGGATGGGATGGGGTGGGATGGGGATGGGATGGGGGGATGGGGTGGGATGGGGATGGGGATGGGGGATGGGGTGGGATGGGGGATGGGGATGGGATGGGATGGGGTGGGATGGGGTGGGGGATGGGATGGGGATGGGATGGGGTGGGGATGGGGATGGGATGGGGTGGGATGGGGGTGGGGATGGGGTGGGATGGGGATGGGATGGGATGGGGGGTGGGGTGGGGTGGGATGGGGATATGGGATGGGATGGGGGTGGGGATGGGGATGGGATGGGGTGGGGTGGGATGGGATGGGATGGGGAGGGTGGGATGGGGATGGGATGGGGATGGGATGGGGATGGGATGGGATGGGATGGGATGGGGATGGGATGGGATGGGATGGGATGGGATGCATCCCGGGATGCGCATCCGGGCCGAGTCCCATTCCCGGCGCTGGAATAGGGCCGGTTTTCCCTATGGCTTCCCCGGGAGCATGGCTTCCCTCTGGGCTGCCGGCGCTGGCAGCGGGCCTTGGCACTGCTTCCCAGGTGGTGGCAGGTTTCCCTGGAGCTGGGAATCCCTTGGCTGCGCCTGCCCGGCCGTGGCAGCATTCCCTGGCTCCCACCATTCCCTTTGGCAGGGCGAGATGGGGCTCCCCGGACAGAAGGGCAGCAAAGGGGACAAGGGCGATGGGGTGAGTGGGGCACACGGGAGCGGGAAGCTGGGATGCACCTGGGAGCTGCCCTAACCCCTATGAGCCTGCTTCTGCCCCACAGGGTCCCCCAGGACCCACAGGGATCCAAGGACCCATCGGGCATCCCGGCCCTGCGGTGAGCGCCATTCCCAGCCCCATTCCCTGCCCCATTCATTCCCTGCCCACAGCCTGGGGTTCTATGGGGCCGACCCCAACCTCTCCCTGCGCAGGGAGCCGATGGGGAGCCGGGACGCCGCGGGCAGCAGGGAATGGTGGGGCAGAAAGGGGATGAGGGCTCGCGGGGTCACCTTGGTCTGAGTGGCCCCCCCGGCCTGCAGGTAAGCAATGGGGCTGCAATGGGGCTGGACTGGGGGGGGGTTAGGGACAACGCAATGGGCCAGGCCCTAAGCCATGATCCCATAGGGAATGCCGGGTCCCCCGGGCGAGAAGGGTGAGAATGGAGACGTGGGCCCCATGGTAAGCAAAGCCCATCCTCACCCCCTTCCTCTCCCCCCCCTCCATCCCCTTCCTCCTCCTCCCGACCCATTCCCAGCTTCCCACATTCCCTATCCCATGGGAGCTTTCCCATCTGACCCCCTCTTCCCATCCCCACAGGGCCCCCCCGGGGCACCAGGACCCCGTGGACCACAAGGACCCAATGGTGCTGAGGTGAGGACAGCACTGGGGGGGGGATGCTGAGCTGCCCCCAATGAGGGGTTCCCCCCCCCCCAGGGTATCCCTGCATCCCTGCATCCTCTTGCATCCAGGGTCCTCAGGGAATGCCGGGCGGCGTGGGGCAACCGGGTGCCGTGGGGGATAAGGTAGGGCCACGCTGGGAGGGCGATGTGGGGCTGGGGCTCCTGCAGCATCAGCCCCACGGCTTTCCTCTTATCCAGGGGGAGCCGGGAGAAGGGGGAGATCCGGGAGCGCCGGGAGAGCCTGGAGCAGCCGTGAGTAACCCAGAGAGGATGAAGCCTTGCCATGCCCCGAATTCCCTGCTCTGATGTGATCCCTGCATCCCGATCCATAGGGAGTCAAAGGAGATGTGGGGGAGAAGGGGGACGCGGGGCAGCCGGGAGCTGCTGGACCCCCCGGCAAGAAGGGGCCTCCGGGAGAGGATGGAGCCAAAGGCGAGCTGGTGAGGGGCAGGAGGGGGCACGGGTCCATTCCCTCCTGGATTCCATATCCCTGCCTCTGCTTCCCAACCCCACACTTGTGTCCTCTTCCCTCTCTGCAGGGTCCCATTGGATTCCCTGGGGATCCTGGTCCCCCTGGAGAGCCCGGTGTGCCAGTGAGTGGTCCCCAGTCACCCTTGGAGTGATGTCCATCATCCTGCATCCATCATCTATCCATCATCCATCCATCCATCCATCCATCCATCCATCCATCATCCATCCATCATCCATCCATCCATCATCCATCCATACATCCATCCCTCATCCATCCATCATCCATCCATCCATCATCCATCCATCATCCATCCATCCATCATCCATCATCCATCCATCATCCATCCATCCATCCATCCATCGTCCATCCATCATCCATCCATCCATCCATCCATCCACCCATCCATCCATCCATCATCCATCCATCCATCCATCCATCCATCCATCCATCCATCCATCATCCATCCATCATCCATCCATCCATCCATCATCCATCCATCCATCATCCATCCATCCATCATCCATCATCCATCCATGCATCCATCCATGCATCCATCCATCCATCCATCCATCCATCCATCCATCATCTATCCATCCATCCATCATCCATCCATCATCCATCCATCATCCATCCATCCATCATCCATCCATCCATCCATCCCTCATCCATCCATCATCCATCCATCATTCATCATCCATCCATCATCCATCCATCCCTCATCCATCCATCATCCATCCATCATCCATCCATCCATCATCCATCCATCATCCATCCATCCCTCATCCATCCATCATCCATCCATTCATCATCCATCCATCTCTCCATCATCCATCCATCCATCCATCATCCATCCATCCATCCATCCATCCATCATCCATCCATCCATCCATCCATCATCCATCCATCCATCCATCCATCATCCATCCATCCATCCATCCATCCATCCATCCATCCATCATCCATCCATCCATCATCCATCATCCATCCATGCATCCATCCATCATCATCCATCATCCATCCATCATTCATCCATCATCCATCATCCCTCATCCATCGCAGGGTCTGGAAGGAGCTGCTGGAGAGAAGGGTGACAGTGGGGACCCCGGCCTACCTGTGAGTGGTGCAACTTGGGGGGGGTCCTGATCACATTCCCCCCTGCACTGGGGGGGCTCTTGGACATCCCCCCCCCATTCCCATGTGTGGGATTCCCTCATCCCAAACCCCATTGGCTCCATTGCAGGGACCTCCGGGTGCCTCGGGGGAGCCGGGTCCCCCAGGCCCCCCCGGCCGCAGGGTGAGTAGGGGCAGGGTGATGTGGGGAGGGACCGAGGTTGAGGGGGGGGGACACACACATGGGGCTGCTGCAGCTCCCGGTGTCCCTCTCCCCCCCTCCAGGGACCCACGGGACCCATGGGGCGCGAGGGCCAGCAGGGCGAGAAGGGGGCCAAGGTGAGGAGCAATGGGACACCCCCCCCCCCAATCCCACCCCAATCCCAGTGCATCCAGTGGGACCCAGCTCGGTCCTCCTGCCCCCAGGGACACCCTGGCACCGAGGGGGCACCGGGGAAGCCGGGACCCATGGGAGCCCAGGGAGCACCGGGACAAGCGGGACCCGAGGGGCTGCGAGGGATCCCCGGCCCTACTGTGAGTTGGGGACCCCCACACCCCTCCATTAGCACTATAGGGTGGGAGGGGGCACAGCTCGGATGGGGGTGCAGCCTCAATGGAGAACATTCGGGTCTATTCCAGGGTGAACAAGGGATGCTGGGGGCTCCAGGACAAGTGGGCCCCCCCGGCCCCATGGTGAGTTAGGACCATAACCCTAAACCCAAACATTAAACCTAACCCCTAACCCAAACCATAACGCTAACCCTAACCCCTAACCCTAACCCTAACCCTAACCCCTAACCCTAACCCTAACCCTAACCCTAACCCTAACCCTAACCCTAACCCCAAACCCCTAACCCTAACCCAAACCAAAACCCTAACCCTAACCCCAACCCCTAACCCTAACCCTAACCCCAACCCCTAACCCTAACCCTATCCCTAATCCCAACCCCTAACCCTAACCCTAACCCCAACCCCTAACCCTAACCCTATCCCTAATCCCAACCCCTAACCCTAACTCTAACCCCTAACCCTAACCCCAACCCCAACCCCTAACCCTAACCCTAACCCTAACCCTAACCCTAACCCTAACCCTAACCCTAACCCTACCCTAACCCTAACCCCTAACCCTAACCCTAACCCTAACCCTAACCCTAACCCTAACCCTAACCCTAACCCCAACCCCAACCCCTAACCCCTAACCCCAACCCCTAACCCTAACCCTAACCCTAACCCTAACCCCAACCCCTAACCCTAACCCTATCCCTCACCCTCTTGCAGGGTCCTGTGGGGCTGCCCGGCCTCAAGGGAGACCCCGGCCACAAAGGAGACAAGGTGGGATGAGGGGATGCTCGTGCATAAACTGGGGGGTCCCTGAGCCCCCCCAAACCCCTGTCCTGGGGCTGCCCCCCCACTGCCCTTTATCCCCAGGGCCACGCTGGCCTCATCGGCCTCATTGGACCACCAGGAGAGATGGGGGAGAAAGGAGACCAGGGGCTCCCCGGCATCCAGGGCCCCCCCGGACCCAAAGGGGACCCTGTGAGTGTTTGGTGTCACCCCCAAACTTGGGGTGAATGGAGAAAGGGGGTGGGGGGAACCACAAGGTCCAAGCTCCCCCCCATTGAGCCCAGTGGTGATGCTGCCTCTTACCCCCAGGGCCTGGCTGGACCCATGGGCCCCCCCGGACCCCCTGGCCCCCCCGGGCTCTCGGTGAGTATCTCCAATGAGGGGTCCTGGGATGCTGCAATGGGGTCCTCATCCAGCACCTTTCTCCTCCCCACAGGGTCCCTTGGGCCAGAAGGGTTCCAAAGGCTCCCAGGTGAGTGCTGGGGGAGGAAAATTGGGGTGGTGGTGGTGGTGGGGGTCCCATCCTTCCCCATTGCCCACAGTGGGTACCTTGATGCTGAGTCCTCTCCTTTGACAGGGTGCTCTTGGTCCCCGAGGTGACACAGGCCCCCCCGGCCCCCCGGGACCACCAGTGAGTAAAGGGATGCTCTGGTACCTCCTGGTCCATTCTCCCCTCCTTATCCCATCGCTGCCCCACCACCACCACCCCTACATCCTCCTCCTCCTTCATCCCAGGGCCCCCCGGCCGAGCCGCTGCCTTCTATGGGGCACCGGAGGCACCGCAGGTCGAGCGGTGGAGTCCGAGGGGAAGAGCAGGAGCCCCCCCCGGCTCCCGAAGGGTTGGAGGAGGCGTTGGCATCGCTCCGCTCCCTCCGCACCGAAGTGGAGCAGCTCCGGAGGCCCCTGGGGACCGCCGAGAGCCCGGCTCGGGTCTGCAGCGAGCTGGGGCTCTGCCACCCGCACCTCGGCGATGGTGAGCTCGGAAGGGGGATGCGGGGATGCTGCGGGGCGGGGAGGGGGGGTGTCTCTGGACCGCCTGCCCACGGTGCTGCGCTTCCCAGGGGAGTACTGGATCGATCCCAACCAGGGCTGCTCCCGCGATGCCTTCCGGGTGTTCTGCAACTTCACGGCGGGAGGCGAGACCTGTTTGGGGCCGGAGAGGAGCCTGGAGGCGGTGAGCGGGGACACCCAGGAGGGGTTGAGAGCAGCAGAAGGGCTTGGGGGGGGGTGTTGGGTGATGAGAAGCTGAACGTGAACCGGGGGCAGTGGGGGGCTTGAGCCCAGGAAGCAGCCGTATCCTGGGCTGCATCCAAAGGATGGGAGCAGCAGGGCCAAGGAGGTGATCCTGCCCCTCTGCTCTGCTCCCGTGAGAGCTCACTTGGAGCATTGGGTGCAGTTCTGGGGGCCTCAGCATTAAAAGGACGTGGAGCTGTTGGAACAAGGCCAGAGGAGGCCACGAGGATGCTCAGGGGCTGGAGCAGCTCCTGTATGGAGACAGGCTGAGGAAGTTGGGGCTGCTCAGCCTGGGGAAGAGAAGCTGCGTGGAGAGCTCAGAGCAGCTTCCAGTGTGTGAAGGGGGCTATAGGGATGCTGGGGAGGGACTCTTCATTAGGGACTGCAGTGACAGGACAAGGGGTAACGGGTTCAAAATGAAACAGGGGAAGATTAGGTTGGATTTAAGGAGGAAATTCTTTCCTGTGAGGGTGCTGAGGCACTGGAATGGGTTGCCCAAGGAAGCTGTGACTGCTCCATCCCTGGTGGTGCTCAAGGCCAGGCTGGATGAAGCCTTGGGTGCCATGGTTTGGTGTGAGGTGTCCCTGCCCATGGCAGGGGGTTTGCAACTGGATGATCTTAAGGTCCTTTCCAACCCACACTCTTCTAGGATATTCCAAGGGGGGAAAAGGGCTTGGAAAAGCTTCCCCTCCCCAAGCCAACGCTGTCTCCATCCTCCTCCCAGGTCCGCTTGGCTGCTTGGAGCAAGGAGAAGCCGGGGACGTGGTTCAGCACCTTCAAACGGGGCAGGAAGGTGGGTGCAAGGCCAAAGGTGGGGGGGGGGGGGATGCAGCAGCCCCCCACGCAGGGCATCCCCATTAGATCCCTTTCTCCCTGCAGTTCTCCTACGTGGATGCGGATGGGAAGCCCGTGCCTGTGCCCCAGCTCACCTTCCTGCGCCTGCTCAGCGCCGGCGCCCGCCAGAGCTTCACCTTGAGCTGCCAAAACGCCGCCGCTTGGTTCGATGCCAGCGCCGGCTCCTTCGCCAGGGCCCTGCGGTTCCGAGGGGCCAACGAGGAGGAGCTGGGTTACAACCACCCCATGGCCCCCATCCGGGCCCTGCACGACGGCTGCCAGGTCCGGGGCTCCATCCGTCCCTGCCGTTATCCCCCCGCCCCGGTCCCCAGCCCGGCGTCCATGGAGCCATGGGATGGGTTGGAAGGGACCTGGAGCTCAGCACCCATAGGCAGGGATGCTTCCCACTAGGGGAATGGGGCATCCAACCCTTCTCCATTCAAGCCATCCCGGTGTCCCACTGCCCTTCCTCATCTCCAGCCTGAACATCCCGGTTTCAGTCGGAACCCATCACTCCCGGATGCAGATCCCTCTCCAAGCATCCCTGGAGCCCCTTTCCGAGGTCTCCACGCAGCTTCTCCTCTCCATTCCCAACGTTCCCAACCTGGCTCCCTATGGAAGCTGCTCCAAGCTGACCATTCCCAACGTTCCCAACCTGGCTCCCTATGGGAGCTGCTCCAAGCTGACCATTCCCAACGTTCCCACCCTGACTCCCTATGGGAGCTGCTCCAAGCTGACCATTCCCAACATTCCCAACCTGGCTCCCTATGGGAGCTGCTCCAAGCTGACCATTCCCAACATTCCCAACCTGGCTCCCTATGGGAGCTGCTCCAAGCTGACCATTCCCAACGTTCCCAACCTGGCTCCCTATGGGAGCTGCTCCAAGCTGACCATTCCCAACGTTCCCACCCTGACTCCCTATGGGAGCTGCTCCAAGCTGACCATTCCCAACATTCCCACCCTGGCTCCCTATGGAAGCTGCTCCAAGCTGACCATTCCCAACATTCCCAACCTGGCTCCCTATGGAAGCTGCTCCAAGCTGACCATTCCCAACGTTCCCACCCTGGCTCCCTATGGAAGCTGCTCCAAGATGACCATTCCCAACGTTCCCAACCTGACTCCCTATGGAAGCTGATCCAAGTTGACCATTCCCACCCTGACTCCCTATGGAAGCTGCTCCAAGTTGACCATTCCCACCCTGACTCCCTATGGAAGCTGCTCCAAGCTCACCATTCCCAACATTCCCAACCTGGCTCCCTATGGAAGCTGCTCCAAGCTGACCATTCCCAACGTTCCCAGCCTGGCTCCCTATGGGAGCTGCTCCAAGCTGACCATTCCCAACGTTCCCACCCTGGCTCCCTATGGGAGCTGCTCCAAGCTGACCATTCCCAACGTTCCCACCCTGACTCCCCATGGGAGCTGCTCCAAGCTGACCATTCCCAACGTTCCCACCCTGACTCCCTATGGGAGCTGCTCCAAGCTGACCATTCCCAACGTTCCCACCCTGGCTCCCTATGGGAGCTGCTCCAAGCTGACCATTCCCAACGTTCCCACCCTGACTCCCTATGGGAGCTGCTCCAAGCTGACCATTCCCAACGTTCCCACCCTGGCTCCCTATGGGAGCTGCTCCAAGCTGACCATTCCCAACGTTCCCACCCTGGCTCCCTATGGGAGCTGCTCCAAAGTGACCATTCCCAACATTCCCACCCTGGCTCCCTATGGAAGCTGCTCAAAGCTGACCATTCCCAACATTCCCAACCTGGCTCCCTATGGAAGCTGCTCCAAGCTGACCATTCCCAACATTCCCAACCTGACTCCCTATGGGAGCTGCTCCAAGCTGACCATTCCCAACGTTCCCACCCTGGCTCCCTATGGAAGCTGCTCCAAGCTGACCATTCCCAACGTTCCCACCCTGACTCCCTATGGAAGCTGCTCCAAGCTGACCATTCCCAACCTGGCTCCCTATGGAAGCTGCTCCAAGCTGACCATTCCCAACGTTCCCAAGCTGACTCCCTATGGAAGCTGCTCCAAGCTGACCATTCCCAACGTTCCCACCCTGGCTCCCTATGGAAGCTGCTCCAAGCTGACCATTCCCAACCTGGCTCCCTATGGGAGCTGCTCCAAGATGACCATTCCCAACATTCCCACCCTGGCTCCCTATGGGAGCTGCTCCAAGCTGACCATTCACAACATTCCCAACCTGGCTCCATATACTCCAAGCTGACCATTCCCAATGTTCCCAACCTGACTCCCTATGGGAGCTGCTCCAAGCTGACCATTCCCAACGTTCCCACCCTGGCTCCCTATGGGAGCTGCTCCAAGCTGACCATTCCCAACGTTCCCACCCTGGCTCCCTATGGGACCTGCTCCAAGCTGACCATTCCCAACGTTCCCAACCTGGCTCCCTATGCAAGCTGCTCCAAGCTGACCATTCCCAACGTTCCCACCCTGACTCCCTATGGAAGCTGCTCCAAGCTGACCATTCCCAATGTTCCCACCCTGACTCCCTATGGGAGCTGCTCCAAGCTGACCATTCCCAACGTTCCCAGCCTGGCTCCCTATGGGAGCTGCTCCAAGCTGACCATTCCCAACGTTCCCAACCTGGCTCCATATGGGAATTGCCCCAAATTGACCATTCCCAACATTCCCAACCTGGCTCCATATGGGAATTGCCCCAAATTGACCATTCCCAACATTCCCACCCTGGCTCCCTATGGGAGCTGCTCCAAGCTGACCATTCCCAACATTCCCACCCTGACTCCCTATGGGAGCTGCTCCAAGCTGACCATTCCCAATGTTCCCAACCTGGCTCCCTATGGAAGCTGCTCCAAGCTGACCATTCCCAACATTCCCACCCTGGCTCCCTATGGGAGCTGCTCCAAGCTGACCATTCCCAACATTCCCACCCTGACTCCCTATGGGAGCTGCTCCAAGCTGACCATTCCCAACGTTCCCAACCTGACTCCCTATGGGAGCTGCTCCAAGCTGACCATTCCCAACGTTCCCAACCTGGCTCCCTATGGGAGCTGCTCCAAGCTGACCATTCCCAACGTTCCCACCCTGGCTCCCTATGGAAGCTGCTCCAAGATGACCATTCCCAACCTGGCTCCCTATGGGAGCTGCTCCAAGCTGACCATTCCCAACGTTCCCAACCTGACTCCCTATGGGAGCTGCTCCAAGCTGACCATTCCCAACCTGGCTCCCTATGGGAGCTGCTCCAAGCTGACCATTCCCAACGTTCCCAACCTGGCTCCCTATGGAAGCTGCTCCAAGCTGACCATTCCCAATGTTCCCAACCTGGCTCCCTATGGAAGCTGCTCCAAGCTGACCATTCCCAATGTTCCCACCCTGGCTCCCTATGGGACCTGCTCCAAGCTGACCATTCCCAATGTTCCCACCCTGACTCCCCATGGAAGCTGCTCCAAGCTGACCATTCCCAACGTTCCCAACCTAGCTCCCTATGGGAGCTGCTCCAAGCTGACCATTCCCAACATTCCCACCCTGACTCCCTATGGAAGCTGCTCCAAGCTGACCATTCCCAACATTCCCACCCTGACTCCCTATGGAAGCTGCTCCAAGCTGACCATTCCCAACATTCCCACCTTGGCTCCCTATGGGAGCTGCTCCAAGCTGACCATTCCCAACATTCCCACCCTGACTCCCTATGGAAGCTGCTCCAAGCTGACCATTCCCAACGTTCCCACCCTGGCTCCCTATGGGACCTGCTCCAAGCTGACCATTCCCAACGTTCCCAACCTGGCTCCCTATGGAAGCTGCTCCAAGCTGACCATTCCCAACGTTCCCACCCTGGCTCCCTATGGGAGCTGCTCCAAAGTGACCATTCCCAACATTCCCACCCTGGCTCCCTATGGAAGCTGCTCCAAGCTGACCATTCCCAACATTCCCAACCTGGCTCCCTATGGAAGCTGCTCCAAGCTGACCATTCCCAACGTTCCCACCCTGACTCCCTATGGAAGCTGCTCCAAGTTGACCATTCCCAACGTTCCCAACCTGACTCCCTATGGGAGCTGCTCCAAGTTGACCATTCCCACCCTGACTCCCTATGGAAGCTGCTCCAAGCTCACCATTCCCAACATTCCCAAACTGGCTCCCTATGGAAGCTGCTCCAAGCTGACCATTCCCAACGTTCCCAAACAGGCTCCCTATGGGAGCTGCTCCAAGCTGACCATTCCCAACGTTCCCACCCTGGCTCCCTATGGGAGCTGCTCCAAGCTGACCATTCCCAACGTTCCCACCCTGGCTCCCTATGGGAGCTGCTCCAAGCTGACCATTCCCAACGTTCCCAACCTGGCTCCCTATGGGAGCTGCTCCAAGCTGACCATTCCCAACGTTCCCACCCTGGCTCCCTATGGGAGCTGCTCCAAGCTGACCATTCCCAACGTTCCCAACCTGGCTCCCTATGGAAGCTGCTCCAAGCTGACCATTCCCACCCTGGCTCCCTATGGAAGCTGCTCCAAGCTGACCATTCCCAACGTTCTCCTATGGGTGCCGCTCATCTCCCTCTTCCCGCAGGGCCGGCGCGGCCGGGAGCGGACGGTGCTGGAAGTGGCCTCATCCCGGGTGGATCGGTTCCCCCTCCTGGATGTGGCCGTGCTCGACTTCGGAGCCCCCCACCAGAAGTTCGGCTTCGAGCTCGGCCCCGTCTGCTTCAGGGGCTGAGGAGGATGGGATGGGATGGGATGGGATGGGATGGGATGGGATGGGATGGATGGGATGGGACGGGGATGGGATGGAGGTCATGGGATGGGATGGATGGGATGGGATGGGATGATGGATGGGATGGGATGGGATGGGATGGATGGGATGGATGGGATGGGATGGATGGGATGGGATGGATGGGATGGGATGGGATGGGATGGATGGGATGGGGCCGGGAGCAGGGACCCCCCCACCCCGCCATTCCCTGTGCCCAGGATGCTGATCCAGGGAATACTCAGGACTCGGAGCTGGAGCCCCCTTATTTATACGGGGAGGGGGACACACACACAAAGCAAAGAGGGGGTTCAAGACAGCCCCCCCCTTCCCCATGGTGCTACAACGCTCCCATAGGGAAGCACTGGACGTGCCCTCGCTGCAGCCCATTCCCGACAATGGGATGGGTTAAATCACCTTGTGCTGGGGGTGGGAAGGGAAGTGGGGGGGGGGGACACCCCCAAACTCACTGGGGGATTTTGGGGGGGGGGGTCGGGACCTTGCCTCTGCCCCGGTTGCTCTCTCATAAACCTGTCTGCAAGCGGCTCCCACCCCCAATTCTTGATGGTTTCCATGGAAATGGGGCAGGTTTGATGGGGGGGGGGGGTTCGTGACACCCTGAGGCTGCTCCCCAGCATCCCCCCCTCCCCCTCTTCCCCATCCTCCATCCCCCCCATGGATCCCCCCCCGATCCCTCCCCATCCCCATGGACCTCGGAGCGGGGACCGGGGCTGCCCCCCCCCCCCATCCCCATCCCCGGTGCCCCCAACCCCGCAGCGATGCCCGTTTTTTGGGGGGGGGGGGGGGGGGATGCTCGGCCCCTTCCTTCGCTCCCCCGGTTCGGTTCCGCCCCTCCCGGCCCGCTCCGACGCCTCCAGCGCCCGTTACCGGAGCCGCTGCTGCAGACGGGAGCCGCCGGTACCGGAGCGGGGCTGAGGAAGAGGAGGGGAGGAAGGAGGGGGGGGGCGGCGCGGATAAAGGCGGCGGCGGAGGGGCCCGGCCCGGGGATGCGGCTGCGGCGGCGCTGAAGCGGCTCCGGTAACGGCGGCCGGGGTCGGTGCCTTCAGGATGCGCTTCCTCCCCGGCCTCCTCCTCCTCCTCGCCGCCGGTTCCCCCGCGATGCAGGTAAGGGCAGGGGGGGGGCGCAGCGGAGCGGGGCGGTTCCGGGGTGCGGGGGGGGGGGTGGGGGGGGGGATCGGGTCCTTTCCGTTCTCCCCCCCTTACCTCCGGTAGCACCGGGACCCTGCGGTGCTCCCTGTGCTCAATGAAGGGGGGGGAGATTTGGCTTCATCCCTATGTGTTCCCCCCCCCAACAGCACCCATGGGACACCCCCCCCCCCCCCCCCCCCGGACCCGGCGCGGTGGTGACACGTGGGTGGGAGCAGCACATGGATGAGGGCTGGGAAAGGCCGGGATGCATCCCATGGGCTGGGTGTGGATGTGGGATGGATGCTGCTTGTGGATCACCATAGGGATACCCTATGGTGGTACCCTATGGGTGCCCCCCCCCCCCCCTTCACCCCATAGGGATGCGCGGGGATGGATGCGTGGTCCATGCGCTGCGGTGGAGGCGTCGAGGAGAGGGGGAAGCTCCGTGGCTCCATCCCTTGGGAATGCCACCGGGATCAGGGATGGGGCTGCTTTGGCGGGGGGGGGGGGGGTGTCCTCGGTGTGGGTCGGGGCCACCCAGGGCCCTGGCGCTGTTGGCAATGGAGCCTTTCCCTGATGAATATTCAGTGGCCGCTTTGCAGCCTGTTGCATATGCATGAGTGGGGGCAGGCAGGCGGGGTTCCCCCCTGCAGCCCCTCCCCAGGTTTGGGGGTGCCATTGCGATGCTGGAACCGGTTTGGGGATGGGATGGGGTCCCCAGTGCGGTCCTGCCCCTGCTTGGCTCTGACCCCCGAGCAGCGGGGATGCGGGACCCCAAAATCGCCCCCTTTTGTGGGGCAGGATGTGGGTCTTGGGGGGTGTGTGTTGCAATGACTTGGGGGGCACTGCAATGAGGCGAGGAAGAGATGGGGAGGTTTGGGGGTACCCCTGTGCCCCCCCCCCTTTTCCTTTGAGTGTGAGATGGGGGGTGGGAAGCTCTGCCCCATAGATGTGGGGTGAGACCCCCCCCAGACCAGGTCCTTGATGTGGCAGCCGCTTGTTGGGGGGCAGAGAACGGGGACACCCAATGGTCCCCTATGGGGTCGCATTCCCGCTTTGGGTACCCCTGGGTGCTGGGGGGGGGGGGGGTGTCTTAGAGGTGACTCCCACCTCGTCCCTGGGCATGGTTACCCCAAAAGCCGAGGGAGGGGGGGGGGGCCCAAAACCCGCGGTTTGGGGGCACTGGGGGGGTCCGGGGAGGGGTTTTGGGGGGGGCTTTCCCCATGGGACCCCTGCACTGCCCCCGTGTCCCCACGCGGTGGCGCTGCGGGACCGCGGCGCAGGGCGATGGAGGCGGAAGAGGGGGGAAGATGCTCAAAGAAGGGGGGACCGGGGGGGGGGGTTTAGGGTGGGCACCCCCCGTTTGAGCTCCCAAAGGGGTTTGGGGGGTCCGGGGGGACCCCGCTGCCAGGGGAGGGGGTGATGGGGGGGGGGGAGGGGGGGTGTCCCTGCAGAGAGGATGGAGATGAGGATTTGGGGGGGCTGCAGCTTCCACATCAGGCTGGGGGGGGGGGGGGGGGGGGGCAGGTCCTTGGGACTGCACTAAAGTAAGGGGGAGCAGGGGGTTTCTGCTCCCCTACATTAGGAACTACGGGGTTCCTGCACCCCCAAACCGGGGGTCCCGGGGGTCCTGCACCCCCACCTTAGGATCTATGGGGTTCCTGCACCCTTCCATTAGGATCCATGGGGTTCCTGCTCCCCTACATTAGCATCTATGGGGTTCCTGCTCCCCTACATGAGGATCCAGGGGCTTCCTGCTCCTCTACATTAACATCTATGGGGTTTCTGCACCCCTCCATTAGGATCTACGGGGTTCCTGCTCCCCTCCATTAGGATCTATGGGGTTCCCGCACCCCCAAACCGGGGTTCCCGTGGTTCCTGCTCCCCTCCATTAGGATCTATGGGGTTCCTGCACCCATACATTACGATCTGTGAGGTTCCTGCACCCCTCCATTAGGATCTATGGGGTTCCTGCTCCCCTCCATTAGGATCTATGGGGTTCCTGCTCCCCTCCATTAGGATCTATGGGGTTCCCGCACCCCCAAACCGGGGTTCCCGTGGTTCCTGCTCCCCTCCATTAGGATCTATGGGGTTCCTGCTCCCCTCCATTAGGATCTATGGGGTTCCTGCACCCCTCCATTAGGATCTATGGGGTTCCCGCACCCCCAAACCGGGGTTCCCGTGGTTCCTGCTCCCCATCCCCTGCTCCGCACCGGCTGGGACCGCCCCAAGCCGGGGCCGTACCGGGGCTGGCGGGGGGGGGGGGGCAGCGGTGCCGACGTCACCCCCGGAGCGGGGCCGGCCCCGTTATAAAGGGCGAGCTCGCAGGCGGCTCTACCGGTACCACGGTACCGGGGGGGGGGGGTGGTGGTGGTGTTGGGAGCGTTTAAACGGGAGGGACCCGAAGGGAGAGGGTTGGGGGGGGGGTGTTTAAACGGGAGGTACCGGGAGGGAGGGAGGGAGGGAGGGAGGGGGGGGGTGATGGGCATGAGGCGGCGGCGGCGGCGAAATGACGGTGCCGCTGCTGAAGATCGGGGCCGTGCTGAGCACCATGGCCATGGTCACCAATTGGATGTCCCAGACCCTGCCCTCGCTCGTGGGGCTCAACGGCACCGCCGTGTCCCGGGCCGGCACCTCCGAGAAGATCGTGAGTGCCCCCGGTACCGGGGAAGGGAGCACCGGGAACGGGGATGGGGATGGAAGCGGGGGGGGGGGGAATGACCGGGATGCTGCGCCACCGGTACCGGCACCCGCGGATGCAGCGCATCGGGACCGCCCCCCCCATCCATCCCCATCATCCCCGGGTGTGGGGACCCCCCCCCCCTTTGCCTTCCTCTGCGCACCCCAACATCCTCCTCCTTTGCTCGCAAAGAGAAGTGAAGCGGGACCCCCCCCCCTCTTCCATCACCTCCCGGGGATGGGGACCCCCATTCGCCTTCCCTTACCCCCCATTCATGAGCATCCCATATTACCAAAGCGAAGTGCAGCAGGACCCCCCCCTTCCATCCTCTGCGTATGGGGACCCCCCTTCGCCTTCCCATTACCCCCCATTCATGAGCACCCCATATTCCCAAAGCAAAGTGCATGGGGACCCCCTCCCCTTCCATCCCTCCCGGGTATAGGGACCCTCATTCATGAGCACCCCGTATTCCCAAAGCGAAGTGCATCGGGACCCCCCCTCTTCTGTCCTCTGCATATGGAGACCCCCATTCGCCTTCCCCTTACCCCCCCATTCATGAGCACTCCATATTCCCAAAGCGAAGTGCATCGGGACCCCCGTCTTCTGTCCTTTGCATATGGGGACCCCCATTCGCCTTCCCCTTACCCCCCCATTCATGAGCACCCCATATTCCCAAAGCGAAGTGCATCGGGAACCCCCCCTTCCATCCTCTGCCTATGGGGACCCCCATTCGCCTTCCCCCTATAGCCCCATTCATGAGCACCCCATATTCCCAAAGCGAAGTACATCGAGACCCCCCCTCTTCCATAGCCTCCTGGGTATAGGGACCCCCATTTGCCTTCTCCTTACCCCCCATTCATGAGCATCCCATATTCCCAAAGGGAAGTGCACCGGGACCCCCCCTCTTATAGGGACCCCCATTCGTTTTCCTCATCCCCCCCATTCATGGGCACCCCAATATCTCCTTTCCCAAAGCAAAGTGCACCGGGACCCCCTCCCCGCTCTACTGGGGATTCCTGGGCATGAACCTCCCCCCCCCAGGCACAGGGATCCCCTTAAAGGGACCCCCCCCATAGGAGCTGGGGGCTTCCAATGGAGAAGACCCCCATGGGGGGCTCCTCACCCCCCTTTTCTCCCCGTTCCTGGAGGCTGGGGGGGGGGGGTCTGGACCCCCACAGGTCCCCTGGGGGTGCTCTTGGCCAGGGGAGGGGGTGAACCCCTTGGTTCGCACCCTGGGTCCCGGTGCTTGGGGGCTTCTCCCTCCCCATCCTCGGGGCACCCCAAATTCTCCTTGACCCCACTGAGAGCAAGGGGGAGGGGGGTGAGGGCAGGTTTTGGGGGTGCTGGGTCCTTTGGGATCAAACTGCCTTGGGCTGACGCCAATCCAAGCCCCGATGACCCCATCCCATAGGGAACCCCGATGGGGACCGTTCCCAAGGGATGAGCGCAGACGATGCTGTTGCCTCCATCGCCGCATCCCCATGCGAGGCGCCGGGTTCTCACCGGGCGCGTTGCGAGGGGCAATTAACGGCGGCCCCGGTAATTGGCTCCTCATTAAGGACCCTTCGGTGCTCCTTGTAACGCCATCAATCACCGCCGTTAATGCGGCTGCACCGGGAGCCGGGTTCAGCCGAGCAGCGCCTTACCCCGGTGCCGCTGGTCCCCAGCGCATCCCTTCCCCTTCGCCTTGGTGCCCTGCTCCCGGCGACAGCGGCTCCTTGTCGGGAGCTGGATGTCCCCAGGCCTCGCCATCAGCAGCACCGGGGGATCCCGGTTCCCGACTCACCGGATACCGGAGCATCCTCTGCAGCGGCTCCCAAAGAGGGAGCAGGGATGCGGTGGCCTCTTGCGGCGCCGATCCGGGGTGTCCTGAGACCCCCGTACCCCGGCTCTGCCTGCTTGTGGACCCCCGAGAGGGGTTAGGATGCTCCAAGAGCTTCCCCCCCCCTCCCCGGCTCCGGTAGCATCAGTCCCGTCCCCCCCCCCCCCCCAGCCGAGCCGAGGGATGCAGGGAGCTCTAATTAATAACCCCGTTATTAATTGCAAAGGCTGCGTTTAACCTCAGCTGATGCCGCCGGGGCTCCCCCCCCCCGTTCCCAGGGCACTGCAATGGGCAGGCGTAGGCAGCGCTGCCCCCACTTCCACCCCATGGGATGCTCCGCAGGGCTGGATGCGACCGGATCGCATCCCCCCCCCCAGTTCTCGCCTGCATCCCGGGGTGCTGGGGATGAACCCCAGCTTTTAGCGCTGGATGAAGCCCAATGGTGCAGGGGGAGCAGCTCTGGCAGCTTGCAGAGCTCCTGCAGCCCTGGATCCCGGCATCAATTATGCATTAGCCCTCCATAAAGTATTGATGTCTGCCTGCTGCCTAAAGGGAAACGGGTCCTCGGCGGCTCCGGGTGCTCCACACGGCTCATTTTGGGGGCAGAAACGAAGCTTTTGGTGCTCCATGGGGTGGGAGCTGCGGGATGCGGCTGCTGAGCCCTTCCTGCACCCCGCCTTTGGGATGTGGGGAGCCTTTCCCACCGTGGGGATGCGATGAGGAGGCACCCATCAGTTCACCTGCTGCAGCCGGCGCGGTGCCATCCGCCGGCGCGATGCCGACCGCATCCAAAGGGACCACTCCTGGTCCCCTGCATCACCAAGCACCAGCTCCGCTGGGCTGAATGAGCCCTTTATTGCCCTCCCCTCGGTTAAAAGCAGGTTTTAAAGCACCTCCAGGTCATTTATCCCCGGCCCTGAGCCGGGTTTGGCCCCCACCGCATCCAATAAACCCCTTCTATGCGAAAAGTCTGGAGTCAAGCGTGGACCCCAGCTTGTTGCAGGGGAAGGGATGGTTCCCCCCCCCCACCCCTTCCTTGGGAGAGAGAGGAGTTTGCTCCTCATTTTCATAATGAACGATTACGAATTCCCCATGAAACGCTAAAAGGCCCCATGGAAAACCGGCGGATCGTGGCGTGAATGCATCAGGAGAAGGGAGGCAGGGAGGGAAATGATGCTTTTCCTCTTGCTTTTGGGGCTGAATGTGGTGGGATGCAGCTGGAAAGAGGGAATGGGCAGCAGAGGCTGAAGTGGTCCCCGTCCCCCTCCATATCCTTGGAAAAGCCACAACCGGAGGGGAAAAGGGGGTGCTTGGATGGGAAAAGGGGATGCCTGGATGGGAAAAGGGGATGCTTGGATGGGAAAAGGGGATTCTTGGATGGCCGGGTACCACCACCGCCAAAGGGACTCGGGATGCAAAGGGAAGGAATTAACAACCCATACTCGTAGCTCCGCTCCATCTGCAGCTGAAGAAATTCCTGCCTCGTCAAGTCTATTTATTAGTGGGGAATAACACAGGAAGAGGAAGGGGAAGGAGGGGAGGGAGGAAGGTGGGAGGTGATGAAGAGCGTTTCCTCATCATTCCCACTGTCATTTCGCAGCCAGGAAGCTGAAATCACCCTGTTTGGAGCAGGTTACAGCGGAATCAGCCTTGGAGGGGGGGGGGGGGGTATTAGATACCCTGGATAAAAAGCCTGGAAGGAGGGAATGGATGAGAGCGGGATGGGATGGGATGAGAACAAGGAAGCTCCTTCCCAGCTCTCTTATAGCCCCTGTGGGTACCGGAGGGGTTGGGATGCTCCGGGCACCGGGAGTTGCGGCTCCAGCATCTCACCTCTCTCTGTGCTGTGTCCCGCAGACCCTGTTCCAGAGCCCCGACGAGGGCTGGCAGGTTTACACCTCGGCACAAGCCCCCGATGGCAAATGCCTGTGCACGGCCGTGATCCCGGTGCAGGGCTCCTGCTCCCGGGACCTGCGCAGCCACCAGCTCCGGCAGCTCATGGAGAAGGTGAGGCTGAACTCAATGGGGATGGGGATGAGGATGCTGGGGATGAAGGGACCCCAAAGCTCATCCATGGCCTTGCCATGGGCAGAGGCACCTTCCATTAGAGCAAGGTGCTCCAACCTGGCCAGGGATGGCGCATCCAAACCTTCTCCGTTCAACCCATCCCAGTGTCCCAGCACCCTCATAGGGAAGATCCCATCTCCATCTCCCCTCTGGCAGGTTAAAGCCGTTCCCATTGCCCCATCCTTTGTCCAAAGCCCCTCTCCGGGTTTCCTGTAGCCCTCTTTAGGCACTGGAAGTCCTATCCTGCTGCTCGCTGCTCCGAGCATCCCATTTGCACCCATTACGGTGTCACCGCAGCGCAGAGCCTTCCCATGGTGCCCTCCCCACACAGACCAAACACGGCTTGGAACCGGCTCCGGGATCACATCCCATGAGCCAAAACGATGCCCAGTGGAAGCCGGGTGGTTTCCCACAGTGGCTCCATGCTCCCGATCTCCTCCTTATGGGCTCTGCAGCAACGCTTGAGGCTGCTCCTGACAGAGCTCCCTTCATTCCCCACGTTCTCCCACACCACAAACCCCATTAAACCTTTGTTATAAGGCGCTGCACCCCCTCCTCTGGAGCAGCTCCTTTCCACAGCTCCATAAATACCAGCGGGGCCGGCGCTAATAAATAAATCAGTGCTTGAGGAACACGATCACGTCGGTGTCATTTGGAAGCCTGGAAGTAAAATAACCTCGGTTGCTGATGGAATGAAGGAGTGAAAATGCATCGATTGGGGCGGGGGGTGGGGGGGTTAAAACCCAAATCACAGCAGAAGCAGGAGTAAAACGCATTGATTGATGCTGCAGGGGGAAGGGGCTGCTCCTTTTTGGCCATTGGTGAGGGGAGGATGGGAGCACTGGGATGTCCCTTCCCCATTTGTTAGCAGCAAAGGGCTTAAACAGAGCAAGGGCTTTATCCCCCCATCCCTCGGTGCAGGTGCAGAACATTTCCCAGTCCATGGAAGTGCTGGACCTCCGGACATACCGGGACCTCCAGTACGTCCGCAACACCGAGGCCCTGATGAAGGGCTTGGACTCCAGGCTGAAGGTGGCTGCTGAGAGCCAGAAGAGCCTCAATGCCAAGAGCTTCCAGGTGAGTCCATCCAGCTCCGATGCCTCTCCCATCCTGTGATCCCCAGTTGAGCATCCCTGTGGTGGTCCAGGTCTGAGCATCCTTCAGGTGGTCCAGGTCTGAGCATCCCTGCAGTGATCCCAGGGTTGAGCATCCCTGTGGTGGTCCAGGTCTGAGCATCCCTGCAGTGATCCCGGGGCTGAGCATCCCTGTGGTGGTCCTGGGTCTGAGCATCCCTGCGGTGATCCTGGGGCTGAGCATCCCTGTGGTGATCCTGGGGCTGAGCATCCCTGTGGTGATCCTGGGGCTGAGCATCCCTGAGGTGGTCCAGGGCTGAGCATCCCTGTGGTGGTCCATGTCTGAGCATCCCAACGGTGATCCTGGGGCTGAGCATCCCTGTGGTGGTCCAGGTCGGAGCATCCTTGCAGTGATCCCGGGGCTGAGCATCCCTGCAGTGATCCTGGGGCTGAGCATCCCTGTGGTGATCCTGGGGCTGAGCATCCCTGCAGTGATCCCGGGGCTGAGCATCCCTGTGGTGATCCTGAGGCTGAGCATCCCTGCGGTGGTCCAGGGCTGAGCATCCCTGCAGTGATTCCAGACCTGAGCACCCCTGCGGTGGTCCAGGGCTGAGCATCCCTGCAGTGATCCCAGACCTGAGCATCCCTGCGGTGGTCCAGGTCTGAGCATCCCTGCGGTGGTCCAGGGCTGAGCATCCCTGCAATGATCCCAGACCTGAGCATCCCTGCGGTGGTCCAGGTCTGAGCATCCCTGCGGTGGTGCAGGTCTGAGCATCCCTGCAGTGATCCTAGGGCAGAGGTGGCCGATTCCCAGCCCATCTGGCTGCAAACAGACATCTTTAATTCAACATTCCCTGGCAAAGCCGTGATCCCACCAGCGCCCTGCGCCGATCGATGCCGCCTCCGAGTCAATGCTGTCCCCAGAACATCCCATTACCCCCCCCTGCCGGGCACTGGGTTATTTTGGGAGCCTCAAGGCTTCATCCTGACAAGTAAAGAGCGTTTCTGTCTCGAGAGCAGCCGGCTCCTGGCACGGGAATGGGCTGGAGGATGCTCAGGTGGACGCCAGGCACTGAGCCTGCAGACGAGACATTGATCCGGTCTGATCACAGCGGGAGGTGCTGAGCCCCGCTCCGGGATGCGATCCCACCGGGACACGGGAATGCTGCCCTGGGAGAATGAAGGGAGAGGAAGGAGGAGAGGGGCTGGCTCGTTCCCAGGAAGCCCCCTGAGCTGTGGGATGCGGAGCGGGACGGGCTTGATGTGGATTTACAGCGTCCTTGAGCAAAGGAGACCCGGGGGAGCGGCTCGGAGCCAGGGCCAGGTCCCTGCTGTGCTTCCCACTGCTGCTTCCCACTGCTGCTTCCCACTGCTGCTTCCCACTGCTGCTTCCCTGCCGTGTTCACGCGGTGCCTGGCACGGGTTGGGTTTATCCACGGCTTCCTGGGGTCCGAACATCCCTGTGGTGATCCAGAAGCTGAGCATCTCTGCAGTGATCCCAGAGCTGAGCATCCCTATGGAGATCCCAGAGTTGAGCATCCCTGTGGTGATCCAGGAGCTGAGCATCCCTGTGGTGATCCCAGGGTCTGAGCATCCCTGTGGTGATCCAGGAGCTGAGCATCCCTGTGGTGATCTCAGAGCTGAGCATCCTGATGGACATCTCAGAGCTGAGCATCCCTGCGGTGATCCCGGGACTGAGCATCCCTATGGTGATCCCAGGGCCGAGCATCCCTATGGAGATCCCAGAGCTGAGCATCCCTGCAGTGATTTTGCCACCCTGGTCCTGACCTTAGAGCTCTGTTGCTCCCCCCCCCGCCAGCACCAGCACCTTTCCTGCATCCCTCCCATGCAGAGCATCACTCTGTGACCAGCCACCACGGATGCTGCCGTGCTGGGGATGGACAGAGGGGCACAGCCATGGGGACAGGCACCAGGAGGCTGCAGGAAGGGCTTCACTTGGGGGTGTTTTGTGACCCCTTACGCAGGAGCTCAAGGACAAGATGACAGAGCTGCTGCCCCTGATGCCCGTCCTGGACCAGTACAAGTCAGACACGAGGCTGATCGTGCACCTCAAGGAGGAGGTGAGGAACCTCTCCGGGAGCCTCCTGGCCATCCAGGAGGAGATGGGGGCCTACGACTACGAGGAGCTGCAGCAGCGGGTGCTGATGCTGGAGGCCCGGCTGCACGCCTGCATGCAGAAGCTGGGTACGATCCCCCCCCCCCTTTTTCCCGTGCTCAGGAATCGCTGCCGGTGCCTTTTCCATGAGCATTCCCCATCCTGCTGCCGGTCCCCATCTCCTGAGACTCCTGGGGGTCCATGGGGTGATGGGAGGCATGGTCCCTTCCCTGCTCAAGGACCAGGGGGAACCAGGCAGCATCGGGCTCCGTGATTCCCATCCCTCACTCCAAACTCATTCCCTGCCCCATTCCAGGCTGCGGGAAGCTGACGGGCGTCAGTAACCCCATCACCATCCGAGCATCCGGATCCCGCTTCGGGTCGTGGATGACGGACACGATGACGCCCAGCGCCGACACCCGGGTGAGAGGCACAGGGCACCCATGGGGATGGGGGGGAAACGGCCCTGCCTGGTGCCCATGAGGGCTGCCTGGGGTCCGTGCGCCCCGGGGCACGGTCCTTGGGGTCCAGGCACCTTTGTGCACACACCTTGATGCACACACACACTGAGGCACACACATTGCACACACATTGCACACTCATTGGTGCACACACACTGATGCACACACATTGCACACACATTGATGCACACACACACTGATGCACACACATTACACACTCATTGATGTACACACACACGTTGATGCACACACATTGCACACACATTGATGCACACACACACACTGATGCACACACATTGCACACTCATTGATGCACACACATTGCACACTCACTGATGCACACACACATTGATGCACACACACTGATGCACACACACACACTAATGCACACACATTGCACACTCATTGATGCACACTCATTGATGCACACACAATGGTGCACACACATTGGTGCACACACACACTAATGCTCACAGATTGCACACTCATTGATGCACACACACTGGTGCACACACACATTGATGCACACACACATTGATGCACACACATTGCACACACATTGATGCACACACACATTAATGCACACACATTGCACACTCATTGATGCACACACATTGCACACACATTGCACACTCATTGATGCACACACACCTTGATGCACACACACACTGATGCACACACATTGCACACTCATTGATGCACACACACTGATGCACACACATTGCACACACATTGATGCACACACACATTAATGCACACACATTGCACACTCATTGATGCACACACATTGGTGCACACACACACTAATGCACACACATTGCACACTCATTGATGCACACACACTAGTGCACACACGTTGCACCCACACCGATGCACCCACATTGATGCACACATATTACACACAGATTGATGCACACACGTTGCACCCACACCGATGCACCCACATTGATGCACACATATTACACACATTGATGCACACATGTTGCACGCACTCTGGTGCACACATGTTGCACCTACACCGATGCACCCACATCGATGCACCCACACCGATGCACCCACATCGATGCACCCACACCGATGCACCCACATCGATGCACCCACACCGATGCACCCACATTGATGCACCCACACCGGTGCACCCACATCGATGCACACATATTACACACAGATTGATGCACACACGTTGCACACACACTGGTGCACACACATTGCACCCACACCGATGCACCCACATCGATGCACCCACACTGATGCACCCACATCGATGCACCCACACCGATGCACCCACATTGATGCACCCACACCAGTGCACCCACATCGATGCACCTGCATTGATGCACCCACACTGATGCACCCACATCGATGCACCCACACCGATGCACCCACACCGATGCACCCACATCGATGCACCCACATCGATGCACCCACACTGATGCACCCACATCGATGCACACATATTACACACAGATTGATGCACACACGTTGCACACACACTGGTGCACACACGTTGCACCCACACTGATGCACCCACATTGATGCACCCACACTGATGTACCCACATTGGTGCACACATATTACACACAGATCGATGCACACACATTGATGCACACACACTGGTGCACACATGTTGCAACCACACCGATGCACCCACACTGATGTACCCACATTGGTGCACACATATTACACACAGATCGATGCACACACATTGATGCACACACACTGGTGCACACATGTTGCACCCACACCGATGCACCCACACTGATGCACCCACACCGATGCACCCACATCGATACACCCACACCAGTGCACCCACATCGATGCACACATATTACACACAGATTGATGCACACACGTTGCACACACACTGGTGCACACACATTGCACCCACACCGATGCACCCGCATTGATGCACCCACACTGATGCACCCACATCGATGCACCCACACCGATGCACCCACATTGATGCACCCACACCAGTGCACCCACATCGATGCACCTGCATTGATGCACCCACACTGATGCACCCACATCGATGCACCCACACCGATGCACCCACATCGATGCACCCACATCGATGCACCCACATTGATGCACCCACACCAATGCACCCACACATCAATGCACCCACACTGGTGCACCCACATCGATGCACACATATTACACACAGATTGATGCACACACGTTGCACACACTCTGGTGCACACATGTTGCACCCACACCGATGCACCCACACCGATGCACCCACACTGATGCACCCACATCGATGCACACATATTACACACAGATTGATGCACACACGTCGCACACGCACTGATGCACCCACACTGATGCACCCACACTGATGCACCCACATTGATGCACACATGTTGCACCCACACCGATGCACCCACACCGATGCACCCACACCGATGCACCCACACCGATGCACCCACATGGATGCACACACGTTGCACCCACACCGATGCACCCACACCGATGCACCCACACCAATGCACCCACATGGATGCACACATGTCGCTCACACACTGATGCTCACCCACGGATGCACACGCGTTACACGCACGCCCATGCACACTCCCTGCCACGTGCCTGCACGTGCTGGGGGGGGGGATGCGTGTGCAAGGGACACGTGGCCACGGCTCCCTCCCCGTGCCCCATCCTGCCCCACAGGTCTGGTACATGGACGGTTACTACAAGGGCCGGCGCGTGTTGGAGTTCCGCACCATGAACGACTTCGTGACGGGGCAGAACTTCGTGCAGCACCTCCTGCCTCACCCTTGGGCTGGCACCGGGCACGTGGTCTACAACGGCTCCCTCTACTACAACAAGTACCAGAGCAACATCGCCGTCAAGTACCACTTCCGCTCCCGCAGCGTGCTGGTGCAACGCAGCCTGCCCGGCGCCGGCTACAACAACACCTTCCCTTACTCCTGGGGGGGCTTCTCCGACATCGACTTCATGGTGGACGAGAACGGGCTCTGGGCCGTGTACACCACGAACCAGAACGCCGGCAACATCGTGGTGAGCCGCATGGACCCGCAGACGCTGGAGGTGCTGCGGAGCTGGGACACCGGGTACCCGAAGCGCAGCGCCGGCGAGTCCTTCATCATCTGCGGCACGCTCTACGTCACCAACTCCCACCTGGCCGGCGCCAAGATCTACTTTGCTTACTACACAAACACTTCCAGCTACGAGTACACGGATATCCCCTTCCACAACCAGTATTCCCACATATCCATGCTGGACTACAACCCACGGGAGAGGGTGCTCTACACTTGGAACAACGGCCACCAGGTCATCTACAACGTCACGCTCTTCCACGTCATAAAGACCTCGGGGGAGCTGTGACCCGGTGCCTCCGTCCCCACCTCTTTGGTTTAAGCCATTCCAGCCTCTTTCCTCCACCTTTTCCCTCTTTGGTTCTCATGGTTTGGACCATTCCTTTGGCTCCTTTGTGGCGCGTGGGATGCCGTTGCCCCCCGTCGGAGCTGACCTCGGTTGGGTTTTTGGTTCTCTTCGTTTAACTACTTTTAATTTACATCTCGATTTTGGTGGCAAATAAAACCGGTCTCTGATGTTTGATGGGGCTCCCGATGATGGTTTCTCCCCCCCCCATCAATTGCCAGGGGATGTGTGAGGGGATGGAGGAGACGTGGAAGAGATGGGTTGGGAGGGGATAAAGGGATGGAGGCCAGTGGGCTGGAGTTGTCAGAGGGCATAATAAAGCTTCCAATGGCCCCAGAGAGCTCATGGTGGGGGGACACCAATAGGTCCGGGGGGGAGAAGAAGACCCTGGTGCCCCTTCTGCAGGAGGCATGGGGTGGATAGTGGGGCTGCAGTGCAAAGGGAGCAGGGAACAGCCATGGGCCTGCCTCTCACCCCTATCCCATCCCCATCCCATCCCATCCCATTGCCATCCTTCCCCATCCCATCCCCATCCCATTCTAACCAATCCCATCCCCATTACATTCTATCAAATCCCACCCCATACCTATCTAATCCCATCCCATCTCCATTTCCATCCTCACCCCATCCCAATTCCCATCCTTATCCCCATCCCCATCCCACCTCCTCCCCAAGGACGATGCCATTGACAGCCCTTGGTTACCTTTCCCTGCATCCCTCAAGCTTGGGTATCCTTAGAGGGGCACCCCTGTGTAGGGCCAGGGATGCAGGGATGCAGCCAGTGCTGCAGTGGAGGCATCTTCAGTCGGTGCCTAGAGCTGAGGTGGGAATAAGCCCCCAACCCAATGTGCTTTTCCTTGGTGCCCCTATTTGGGCTACACCAGAAAGGGGGGGAGCGATAAAACCCCCCATAACCCAGGGTTTTAACAACCTCCCACATGGCGAAACTCTTCTGGAAAGCAGCCTGGGATCACTCATCCTGCAGGCTGGGTTTTTCCACCTCATTGGAATTCTCCTGCAGGCTCAGCCTTAACGGGAGGAGAATTGGTTATTCAGCCCCGATCCCGGCCGGCGATGGAGCTGGAGGGGCTGGGAAGGGAGGAACACCCTGCAGCTCCTTTGGATAGCGCTCGAACGGGGGATCCCAAGTGTCCCCTTGTTCCCGATGCTCCGAGGAGGGGGGGGATTGTCTGGGGCTCGCCGTTAGGAACTCGCTTCGTCAGGAAAGCATCAGCAAATCCATCCCCTTCCCGGGGCTCCGGCGCGGATCCTGCTCACTGCAGAGCCCTGGGGCTGTGTCTGGACTCTCCTCCCAAGGGAAAACCAGCGGGAGCTCCATAATTGAGGCTTAATGATGGCCGGGAAGCGGCGAGCGGTGGGAGCTCCATCCCCATCGCATCCTATGCAATCTCATCCCCATCGCACCCTATGCAACCTCATCCCCACCGCATCCTATCCAATGCCATCCCCAGCTCCATCCCCATGGGAGCATGTGGCCGGCGGCACTAAAACAAGCTGCGGAGGGGGGAAAAAGCTGGAATTCCAGCCCTCATCCCCCTGCCCCTCCTTTGGGAATGATGATGATGGAGGAATGCGGCCAGCAGGAGGCTTTTAGCATCCCCGGCTCCTCCTCGGGGCAGGAAGCGGAGCATGGCTCTGGTGGTAGATACCTGCTCTGGCCCATTCAATCAAATGGATGAAAACCCAATCTAGAGTATAACCAATATAGAATATAGAGAAATAGTACCCATAATATGTACATATTAGTGAGGATCTTTAGTAGTCTTGTCTATAATTGATACATAGAGAGAAATCTCATCTAGAATATAGATACATTAACTAGAATGTGGATAAATCTTAGCTAAACTCATCTATAATATATATTAGCTAGAACATCTTGCCTAAACTCATCTATAATGCATATTAGCCAGAATATATAGAAATCTTGTCTATAATATATATACATATATATACAATAGATATACATATATAGAAACCTCACCTAGAACACAGATTTATTAGCTAGATTATGGAGGAATTTAATGCATATTATGTGCATATGAACTAGAATGGATGGAAATCTTGTCTAAAAGAGATACATATCAGCTGGAACAGGGAGAAATCTTGACTATAATATATACTTATTAGCTAGAATATGTTAGATGTGATTAATGCAACGTAATGCAATATAATATAATGCAATACAGTTAATAGAATAGGTATAAAATACATGCATGGGGCATACACAGATTCGTGCCCTATATCCTACAGCTATACACACCCAGTGAAGTGCTGCACCAAATAATGGGCATCCCCAAACCCTCCTTTCCCAGTCCCTGGAGCTGAGATTCCCACTTCATCACCTCCTATGGGACCCCCCCATAAAGGGGGATGGTTTTGGGGGGGTTAATACCCGGCTTTATCCCAGTGTCTCACCCCAGGATAAAACGGAATGTGTGCAAGAGAGGGGTTATCCATGAGATCCCGCAGGCCTCCAGAGGGGATCCCGGATGGATCGTGCCTCCCCCAGCCCCGCGCCGCTCCAGCTCTTTCTTTATGGCCCCATTCGGATCATTCCAGCCACCGTGATTCCCTAGGGAAACCCATCTCCCACGGGAAGCTCCCGGCCAGGGCAAACCCCACTGCAGCAGAGGGGATGGGGCTGAGCTGGGCTGCTTTTCCCTCCTCCCTTTTGGGAATGCTTGAGAAGGATGCCCGGAGGAGGCTCCAGGACCTCGGGTTTAACACAGGGGACAGCAGCAGGGATGCGGACGGCAAAGCCACCCCCAACCTATGGAAACCCCATTTCCCTTCATCCTTAATGAATTGGCTCCCGCTAATGAAGAGCATCCCATCGCTGTGACATTCCAGCGCCCAGCCCAGCCCCGCAGCCCTTGGTCGGGTGTTAAACGGATCAATAACGGATGCTCACCGCTAACGAACCCATTGAAACCGGAGATTTTTCAATTCCCAGCTCCTTTTTCTGCTCCCAGCCAAGCCCTCAGCGCATCCTGGGGGCAGAATGGAACTCAGAGCATCGGAGTCCCTCCTTTTCATTAGCAAAAGAGGTGCTTTATTACTTATCTGCTTACTGAGAAGAGGAAAATCTGAGTCCCCCCACTATGAAACCCCACTGTGAATCCCATGCGAACTTCCCAGGGTTAAGTTTATTAAGAGGGATCCATTTGCAATGCACGCAGATGGAATCTGTGCTGTCAACTCATTTTCCAGCCCAGCCATGAGCACGGAGGGGGGATTGATTCTCTTTTATGGCGCAGTTAACAGAGGCTCATCCGTCGCACAGGGGTAAAAGAGATGAAAGATGGATGTGAGACAGGAAGGGGGGGGAAAGCCCCCGGTGATGGGATTGGGATGCTCAAAGCACCATAGGGATGAACCCAACCGGGATGCTCAAGGATAACACCGGCGGATGCAGCCGGGATGCTCAGTGAGGAGCATCCCTCCTAAACCACCCCATTCCTGAGCAGCTCCAGGACCCGTTATTCCTGTTATTCCAATGGGTTTATTGAAACGAGGCTGATTTAAGTCTGAACGAGCTGGGATGCTCTTGCCTCCTCCCTTTTGGGGGGGTGGGGGCAGAGGGGTGGGAGCCCATGGGGGATGCAGGAGAAGCTTGGGACAAGAAAGGAAAAGGGAATAATGAGACCAATGGGCTTGAAAAAAAGGGGAATAACGAGCCAAAGGGGGCTTAAAACCAGGGAATAACAAGACAAATGGGATTTAATGGGCATAATGGGATCTAATTTGTTTGCAAGAGCCGCCTCGCTCCTGAGCCAGGGAATTGGCAGCGTGCGGAGGAGCCGATGTCTCGGCAGCTTTATGGATCCCCCCTGACACCCGGCCCTCATTAAATCCACCCGGAGATAGCACGGGAATGAAAGTGTCAGGATAAAGGATGCTGGCGCCGGCTCCAGCCGGGATTGATGTGCTGGAGCAGGGCCTTATCCCTCCTCATCCCACCTCGGAGGGAAGAGAGGGACCCCCCCTCCCAGCTCCCATCTCCATCAGTGCAGAGCAGCCTCAGCCCATCAGTTATGGTCTTATCCATGGTGGAATCATTTTTCCAGCTCCTGCGTGGGGCTGGCAAAGGAGCAAACCCCAACTCTTCTCTCTTCTCTTCCCTTCCCTTCTCTCTTCTCTTCTCTTTCTACTTTCCCCTTTTCCCTTCTCTCTTTTTCCCTTTTCCCTTCTCTCTTTTCCCCTTTTCCCTTCCCTCTTTTTCCCTTTTCCCTTCCCTTTTCTCTTTTCTCTTTTTCCTTTTTCCCTTCCCTTTTCCCTTCTTTCTTTTCCCCTTTTCCCTTCCCTCTTTTCCCCTTTCCCCTTCCCTTTTCTCTTTTCTCTTTTCCCCTTTCCCCTTATTTCTTTCCCCCTCTTTTTCCCTTTTCCCTTCTTTCTTTTCCCCCTTTCCCTTCTCTTTTTTCCCCTTTCCCCTTCTTTCTTTTCCCCTTTTCCCTTCCCTTCCCTTTTCCCTTCTCTCTTTCCCCTTTTCCCTTCCCCTTTCCCTTTTTTCTTTTCCCCTTTTCCCTTCCCTTCCCTTTTCCCATCTCTCTTTCCCATTTTCCCTTCTCTCTTTTCCCTTCTCTCTTTTCCCCTTCCCTTTTCCATTCCCTCTTTCCCTTTTTCCCTCTCCTTCCCTCACCAGACCCCAGCTCCTCCCAATCACCCCAGCCCCTCCCATCCCACCCCAGCTGGAGCAGGACGAGCCTATATCAGGAGCTCTTCCAGCATCACCTGCCCGGGGTTGCTCCACGCCTCAGGATGCAGCCCGACAGCAGCAGCAGCTCTCGCCCCTTCAAGCAGAGGCGAAGCCTTGGTGCGTCCCTGGGCCAGGGGGATCCGCAGGGACACAGGGACGGGCCCTGCTCACTTCCCCCTTTTCCCTTCCCCAGCCTCCAGGATGCAGGAAGTGGCCGAGATCCGCCTGAAATATCCCAACAAGATCCCGGTGAGGCCTCCCCCCCACCTCCCGTGCCCTCCAAAGCAGGGGGAGCCCCTGCTAAAGGCTCCGGGGGCTCCATTCTGCCCCCCCCCCCCCAGCATCTCCTCCCTGCTGCAGGTGGTTGTGGAGCGCTACCACAAGGAGAAGACGCTGCCCCCCTTGACCAGGACCAAGTATTTGGTGGCCCAGGACCTGCCCCTGTCCCAGTTAGTGGTCACCCTGCGGTGAGTGGGGGTCCCAGTACAAGGACGGGGGGGGTTCACAGCCTTGGGTCAGTGCAAAAGCCCAGTCTAGGTCCTAGGAAGCAGCTTGGAATGGAAGCACCTTTGGCTGCTCCGCTGAGCAAGGGTTTAGTGGGTGTTCAAGCTTAGCTCAATGCAATGAAGCCTTTGCAATGGGCATCGCCAGCAGCGGTCCCTAGCCTTGCTGGGATGAGGGGTGACAATTGGCTCTCCAAGCCTGTTGATGGGTGGCACAAGAGGGGCACGATGCTGGAGCCAGGTTCCATTGGGAGGAGCCATTCAAAACCAGAGCTGGAGCTGCATCCCCATGGATGGAGCCTGCCCTGAAGCTTGGTCCCATTGGGAGAAACCAAAGGGACCAGAAGCCATTCAACACCAGAGCTGGAGCTGCATCCCCATGGATGGAGCCTGCCCTGAAGCTTGATCCCATTGGGAGAAACCAAAGGGACCAGAAGCCATTCAACACCAGAGCTGGAGCTGCATCCCCATGGATGGAGCCTGCCCTGAAGCTTGATCCCATTGGGAGAAACCAAAGGGACCAGAAGCCATTCAACACCAGAGCTGCAGCTGCATCCCCATGGATGGAGCCTGCCCTGAAGCCAGGTCCCATTGGGAGAAACCAAAGGGAGCAGAAGCCATTCAACACCAGAGCTGGAGCTGCATCCCCATGGATGGAGCCTGCCCTGAAGCTTGGTCCCATTGGGAGAAACCAAAGGGACCAGAAGCCATTCAACACCAGACCTGCAGCTGCATCCCCATGGACGGAGCCTGCCCTGAAGCTTGGTCCCATTGGGAGAAACCAAAGGGACCAGAAGCCATTCAACACCAGAGCTGGAGCTGCATCCCCATGGATAATGCCTGGTGCTGGGCAATGTTCACCCACACTTTGCCTTCCCCTTCATCCCTGCAGGACCCGGCTCTCCCTGGCCTCATCCCAGACCTTCTACCTGCTGGTGAACAACAAGGGGCTGCCCAACATGTCCATCACCATGCAGGAGCTCTACCAGGACAACCGGGATGAGGACGGCTTCCTCTACCTGACCTATGCCTCCCAGGAGATGTTTGGGAGCTCTTCCTCCATCCATCCATGGGCCAAGCCCATGTCCTTTGGGATGCTCCTCCCAGGCCCCTGATGCTGGTGAGGTTGGGGATGTATCCCCCTAAACTCAGCTTAAAACCAATGGGGAGCCCTGGGTTGTGGCTGCACCAAGCTCACCTTTGTGATGGCTTTAAACCCCGCTCGCTCCCTCCTTCCTCTTCTGCCTTGAGCTGCCAGATGATGCTCCCAGCGTGGCAGAGGATGGGGTTGGTTTCCTTGGATCCACTGGGAGGTGATTCCTCAAACAGGGCTTTGGGAGCTCGGGCTCCTCCTAAGCGCATCCCCCTCATGGGACCGGGGTTGGGGGGGCTCCATGGGGCTGGGTTTAAGCTGCAGGCGGTCTGAGATGGGGAATAAAGAGACCTCAGCTGGTGCCATGGGGTGAAACCAGCCTTAAGTGTTGGGGGGGGGGACACCGGGATGTGAAAGCAAAGCAGGGAAAGGGGGAAAGGGCTTTGCTCCCCCCATTGCAAAAGGATGGGGGGCGGGGAGAGCAGGACCCCATCTCCCTCCTGTGTGCAGAATGATGGGGGTTTGGCCCCTGTTTCCCCCCCATCCATCACCCCAAGGAGCGGGCACGGATGCGGCGCTGAGCTCCGGCTGAGTCAGACCCAGGCGCTTCCTGCCTGTGATGCTGCAAAAACGCCTCTTCGGCGCCCGAAGGCTTCCCTGTGAAGTGCAGCGTCACCACGGGCAGCGATTTCAGGCACGTTTCCCCTTCCCGCTGCTCATAAAGAAGCCATAAAATGAGCTGGAACTGGGGCTTTGATGGGCTTCGATGAGGGGTGTCCCCCCTCCCCTCGCCTCCATGCACAAGGATGCTGCAATCCTCATCCCTGCATGGCTGCATCCCCCCCTCCCAAACTGCAGCAGGAGCCTTTGGGTACCAAAGGGGGGTAAGGGGAGCCTGGTTGGGCATCTCTGCATCCCCCTAAGTGAGCATCATCACCCATCGGGCACCATGAGGGTCCTGGAGCCAACCCCACGCAGCCCCAGGGCTCCATTGGGGAAGCAGGATGGTGTTTGGGCTGGGAACAGCTTGGGAATGACTCACCTTCCCTAGCAGGCAATTAGCACCAGCTTTGCAGCTCCAGAGCTGTCCTGCCTCTCAGCAGGCTGAGGTGAGAGCCAGATCCGAAGGGAGGATGGAAATAAACCGCCAGCGCAGGGTGGATCCGAACCACAGCTTCGGGATCCCCATGGGATGAGCCAAGCCCGGAGCCAGCAGCCCCATGGCTCCCAGCAGCAGCCAGGGAGGATAAAGGTGCCCAAGCCCCCGTTGGCGGTGGCCAAGAGCATCCGTCTGTGGAGCTATGGGTTGAGGCCTTCCAGGAATGCAGGGCTGTCATTTCCGTGTAGTTTATTGGGTTGAGGTGGGATTTGGGATGGGGGGGAGGCATCTTTTGGGGTTATTTCACTGCTGGGAGGTGAGGAACAAAGCCCTGGCATAGGGAGGTTCCAAATGGCTCCATTAACGCTGCTGCTGATCCCATTCCTGCTGTTGGGAGCCAAGGAAACCCAGGAAAAGCAGCTAAAAAGATGCTCTTCCCATCTGGAATGCCAGGCAGTGGAATGGGGCGGTGAAGGGGGATTCCGAGGGTACCAAAGCCAGAGCCATGGGGATGGGGACACGGAGCAAACCCAGCGGAGAGGAGCTGGAAGTGGGTTGGGAACAAGGCGCTTCAGGAAGCTGGAAGAGGAGAGATTGGGATGGGAGCTTTGGGAATGCCCTAGGAATTCCAAGGAGCTCGGCATAATGAATGAGCACAAAGGATGCTGCCCCCCTTCACCAGGCAAAGCAGGCAGGGAAGGGGGTTCTCCACCACCCAGCCATGGGGAGGGGCTGCCTAAGGAGGAATGGGCCACGATTCCCAAACTTGGGATCCCAAACCTGGTGCCTTCTCCTCCCAGGGCACCTCTTCTCTCCACCCCTGCCACGGGAGCAACGTGGTCTGGGTGATGCTCCTGCTCCTTGCACTGGTCCCTTCCAACCCAAGCCATCGGATGAGTCTAAGGTAAAAGAGGGCCAAGAGGAGATGCGAGGAAGCAGAAGCCTCCTAAGCAAGGTTACTCTCCATAGGGTGATGGGATGGGTTGGAAGAGACCTTGAGGACCATCCAGTCCCAACGCCTTCATCCTGGGGCCCCAAGTTCAACTCTATGGGAGCTGCCGGATCCATAGGGAAGGAAGCTCGGGATGTCTCCATCCCATCTGCACATTCAGCGTGGTCCAGACAAGCACATCAGGGCCCAGAGCCAAGGACCCCGGGTTGAAACCAGGCCCTTGGCACTGCTGGGCACCCTTCAGCTCCCACTGAGACGAAGCCAGCAGACCCAAACCCCCTCCCATCCTGATGGAGCCAGGGGCTCATTCCACATGAGCAGCACATTCCCTGGAAGCAATGGAAGCCCCTCGGGTCATTAGGATGGAAATGCATTCGGCAGCGGGATGCTGGCTCCATTAAAGCCTCCCATTACAATGGGGATGATTTCTTCCCTCCTGATGAATAGGCTGCCATAAATAGGCTCTGATTAATTGCGGCGGCACTCGGGAGCGCAGCACCGGCTGCTATGGATCGGGATAATGGTCATCAGCTGCCTTGGAGAGCCCTGGCGCTGCTGTGGAGCCAGGTGGTGGCTCAAGTCCCTGCAGCAGGCAGCTCTTTCCAGCCGGTGGGAAGCAGGCATGGATGGAGCATCCCCATGGGAAGCACGGGGTTAGAATCGCTCACGGCCATGGAACGGGTTGGGATGCGAAGGGATCCCGAAGCTCATCCAGCTCCAAGCGTGGCACCTTCCACTGGAGCAGCTTGCTCCAACCTGGCCTTGAACAGGGATGGGGCATCCAAACCTCTTCCTTTCAACCCATCCCAGTGTCCCAGCACCCTCACAGGGAAGATCCCATCTCCCCTCTGGCAGGTTAAAGCCATTCCCATTGTCCTGTCCCTGCATCCCTTGTCCAAAGCCCCTCTCCAAGTCTCTTGTAGCCCCTTTAGGCACTGGAGCTGCTCTAAGGCACGGATCCCCTCGAGCATCCCATCCTCCTGATGCCCAAGGGCTGCAAGCAAATCCCCCTGTTCCCCTTGCTGGAGCTGCACAGAATCTCTTCTTATGGGCATGGAGTCAATGGAATTCCATTTATCCCAAGGCCAGCTTGGAGCAACCTGGGCTAGGAGAAGGTGTCCCTGCCTGTGGAATGGGATTGGAACTGGATGGGTTTTAAGGTCCCTTCCAACCCAAACCATTCCAGGATCCTATGTAATAAAGAGATGTGTATATGCGTGTATATATACGCACATCTATGATATATATACACATCTATGTGTTATATATGTGTATGTATATACATCTAGATACCCCCCAAAGCTGATGAGCCCCCCCCCAAGTGCACACAGGTCCCTGCAGGTCCCCTCAGCTCTCCACAGCAGCAGCCGCAGCAGCCGCAGGGATGCTCGGGGAGTTGTCATGGAAACCCTGGAGCCCTGGGATGCAGCTGAGCATCAGGGAGGGCAAGGACCGGAGCCGGATGCTGCAGGTGAAGGCAGCGCCCTGCCAGGCTGTGCCGGGTTGGGAACAGCATCCTTCTGGTCCCTTTTCCATCCCTTTATCCAAGCCCTGCTTGGTAAGGAAGGGGGGGAGAAGGGTCCCTTCCAACCCAACCCTATAACAAGATCCCATGGTTTCACACTAGGCTGGAGCCATCCCCACCCTCCCTCCCACTATAAAAACCCCACAAACATCCTTCCCAATGTGTTCTCCCAATGGATTTGGAGCTGTCTGACGACTGAATGGGCCAGCTGAAAGCCTTGGCACAGGGATAAGGCTCCGGCTCTCCGCAGCTCCCATCATCTGGAACGTGCAGAGCAAACGGGCCTTACCCATTACAAAGGGGAAAAGAAGGCAGCATCCCACCTGGAACAAAAAGGGCTGGAAGCTGGAAGCTTCCCCATCTCTTCCCATGCAGCAGAGGGGAAGAGCAGCTCCTTGGCTGGGTACCTGCATCCCAGGGCTGAGCCCTGCTGCTGCTTTGCCTGCCCCGGGCTGGCTCTTTTCCAGCTGGGAATTTGGAGCAGGTCCCAGCAGGGCCAGGGAGCAGCAGAGCCCAGCTGGTGCCTGGGCCCAGCATCCGCTTGGGATGCTTGGGACTCCGGGATCTGCTCCATAGGGAGCATGGGAGCGACCGGAGCCATAGGGCAAGGGGTGATGGGTTTAAACTGAAACAGGGGAGGTGTAGGCTGGGGATAAGGAAGTTCTTCCCTAGGAGGCTGGTGGCACATTAGGATCTATGGGGGTCCTGCACCCCCAAACTGAGGCTCTCCGGGGTCCTGCACCCCTACATGAGGATCTATGGGGGTCCTGCAACCCCAAAATGGGGCTCTTTGGGGTCCTGCACCCCTACATTAGGGTCCTATGGGGATCCTGCACCCCCCCATTAAGGATCTATGGGGTCCTGCCCCCCCTTCATTAGGATCTATGGGGGTCCTGCACCCCTAGATTAGGATCTATGGGGTTCCTTCATCCCCAAATTGGGGGTCCCGGGGGTCCTGCAACCCCACTTTAGGATCTATGGGGTTCCTGCACCCCTACATTAGGATCTATGGGAGAAAGTGGGGAATTTGGGGGGAAAGGAAAAATTAGGGAGAAAAGTGGGAAATTGGGGGAGAAAAGTGGGAAATTGGGGGGGAAAGTGGGAAATTTTTTTGGGAAAAGGAAAAATTAGGGAGAAAAGTGGGAAATTGGGGGAGAAAAGTGGGAAATCTGGGGGGAAGGAAAAATTAGGGAGAAAAGTAGGAAGTTTTGGGAGAAAAGTGGGAAATTGGGGGAGAAAAGTGGGAAATTGGGGGGAAAGGAAAAATTAGGGAGAAAAGTGGGAAATTGGGGGAGGAAAGTGGGAAATTTGGGGGAAAGGAAAAATTAAGGAGAAAAGTGGGAAGTTTTGGGAGAAAAGTGGGAAATTGGGGGAGAAAAGTGGGAAATTTGGGGGGGGAAAGGAAAAATTAGGGAGAAAAGTGGGAAGTTTTGGGAGAAAAGTGGGAAATTGGGGGAGAAAAGTGGGAAATTTGGGGGGGGGGAAAGGAAAAATTAGGGAGAAAAGTAGGAAGTTTTGGGAGAAAAGTGGGAAATGGGGGGGGGGGGAATGGGAAATCTGGGGGGCAAGTGGGAAACAGAAGGCAGGAGCTCTCACAGAGCATCCCTAAAGCCTCCAGGCGAATCTCAGCCCCACACTGCACGGCTGCAGCATCCCAGCCCCTCTCCAGCCAGGCCAAGGCAGGGAATGCT